ACTGGCACCACCAAAGATGTAATAGCGGATGAGATTATCGTGGACCCAACTCTTAGTAGCCTTAAGAGATGAGTTCAAGCAATGAAACATAAAATTGGGAATGCCAATGGTATGCAAATATTAGAGCCCCGTAAGAGCCTGAAGGACATATGGGTCAGTATCAAACAACTTCACTTTAGTGACATTATTGGCCTTCAACAGTTGCACTAGATGCGCAGATGGTAGACGGTGCGACGCCAAGGTGTCCCAAGTAACCTCCTTTTGGTTGCGACTTGCAAGTCGCAACTAGATCTTAGATTTGGTCGTGATTGGAAATGAGGGAGAGGAAAGGGGTTTGGTGGGAGGAAGGGAAGGAAGGGAAGAAAGGAGAGGAAGAGAGAGGAGGAAGGGGTGGCAGTGGTGTTAGAGGAGGAGAGGGCGATGATATGTAATGGTGTAGAAGAGGTTTGGTTGGAGGAAGGGAAGAAAGGGAAAAAAGAGAGGAAGAGGGAGAAGGAAGGGATGGCAATGGCATTGGAGAAGGAGGGAGGCAATGGTGTGTGATGGTGTATATTAGTGGTAAGTGGTGAGTAATAGAAGATAGAAGTTGTAGTTTATTTTATTTGTTGTATTTAAAATATTATATGGATTAAATGTTTTTGAAATTATTTTTGTTTATGTGTTACTGTAATATTGCAGTTGAAAAACTTGTTTCTGAAAATAGTCAAATCCAAACAGAGCCATAGGTTCCAAAAAAAAAAAAAAGAATTTGTTTGATTTTGTGCCTCCATAGATCAACTTCATGGTTTCAGCAGTAGAACAGTAGATGTATGCTTTTTGATCATAATAATTGTATTTGGATGGAAGATTATTTAGAAAATTATTTGAACAATACCATTATATTTTTTGTGATGTGATATATATAAGAACAATTGTAAATTGTGCTTAAGCTTAAGATTTGGATTGCTAAGGTGGAGGGAAAACCTTAAGTTGATCGTATCTCAAAGTTCTTCGTATCTCTTACATAACTTCTCAGATCTACCTATCTAAAACACTGATTTGCTTCTTCTGAACAACTAATCGAGCTTTTTCTTATCACCCATTTTTTCTTTTCATCCTTTGATTGTTGGCAAAAAATTATTGGGATTTACATTCGGCCAAAGTTCAAGAGACATGTGAACTAAAATCAGGCCTACCACATGTTTGACAAAATGTCTAAGTGAAAACAAAACTTTTCCTCCGTTATCCGCACCTGAAGTGTCAACTGCCACAACTGCCCAGCGGATCACCTCACACCTGCCGCTCGCTATTGACTACGACACCACTCCCAATAACGTCTCCAAGTGCAAGAAAACTGTTTGAATAAATGTCCCTAATTTAGAGGGATTACATAGAGTTTGTGCTTCTCTATGACCGGAGCGGCTACGACGCCCGATCTGCCCTTAAGGGTGGCAAGAAAACCTCCTGTGGTGAAGTCTTTTGCTGCTACTTTAACAGGCAATGCAACTGCTTCGTCATGCAATGGCATTATTCCGGATTTTGGCCAGCTTTCAACCTTTTGTGGGGAGCCGGCACTTTTGATATCTCGCGAAGAAATTTTAACTCTTTCTAAACCATTTAAGAATTTTTTGTGGGCAGGTTTGCATATAGCAGGCCTCCTATGGAGCTTATCAGAAAATTTCTTGTTTCGTTTGGATTGAAAGGGGATTGCCCAGTCGGTTTATTAGATAACAATCATGTGCTTTTTCGGCCATATCTGGAAGAGGATTACATGCGTCTTTTTGTCCGAAGATCATGGTTCGTCCAGAATTCTCCCATGACCATCTCCAAATGGACTATCTATTTCAAGGCAGATCATAAAGCATCAATTGCTCCTATATGGGTATCTTTTCCTGAGCTTCCTCTTCCGTCCTTTAATATGAAGTATTTGAATAAGATGCATCGCTCCTTAGGAGGCCATTGAAGGTTGATGCTGCAACTTCAGATTTTCATAGGTCATCCGTAGCTAGAGTGTTAATAGAGTTAGATGTATCGAAGGCGCCTACTCGACGTATTTGGATCGGTGATGACTCTAAGAGTGCATGGCAAAATACTGATTATGAGTTTTGGCCAGAATTCTGCCATCATTGTGCAAAGATTGGGCATACTCATCAATGTTTTAAAAAAATCCTATTCTTCATCCTTTGAAGGCTGACAGAACAGTAAACAATCGTGAACCAGCACAGATTTATGCTCCAAAGAAGGTTAAGTCAGGTGTGACAGTCGAGACTCATGTTCAGACAATTCCGGAGGCTGCCATTTTAGGAATAATTCGTATTTTGTTTTGGATACTATTAATCCTGATGATCTCCAACCGAATATTGGGCAAATTCATAAGGAAGAAGCTGCAAAGTCTACTATTGTCGCAGATCAGGTTGTGGAGCCGGAGCATGGAGTAGATGTGAGGCTGCAGACTTCGATTTCGAATCCACTTCATGATAGGGAATTCGCTGATCCAGAGTTTGAGGATGACCATTCTATTCAACCAGCAAATGGCGCATCCAGAGAGGCTGCATCGAAAGAGAAGGCGATGGAGACTGGCGACTCCTCATAGCAAAGTACTGGAATTACATCTGTTGTGGCAAACGGTACGCTCGCGAAGGTAGACCAAATTCATGATCCACGTGATGTTGTGTCAGTTGGAGACACACCCTTTGTGGGTACAAGTACAAGAACAGAAACAAAATCCTCTATGCCTTAAAAGCCACATATTAAAGATGTGCCACAATTTAAAAATGTGTTCGAAGAGTTTAAATGGAAGAAAATACATGGTAAGATCCCCCTCATGTATCAAAAGCCTTTTCGTCATTCAAGAACAATATGCAAGGATGACAAAAATGAAAAAAAAAAAGATGATTCACAACGCGATAAAAGACAGAGATCAAGACCAAAACCTAGTTCACGAGCAATTTACCCAAGTTATTTCAAAGAAAGTGAGGAAGCAGCTCTCAAAAATAGGTAAAACAATGCAAACACATCAAGATGTTAAACCAAATTTCCATGCTCACTCAAAATCCCACAAATGGTGGGGCACCTTCATGTGGATGATTTCTTTCAATTCATCTGTTATGTGTTTAGAATAGCAGTTTTTTCCATATGTGCGTATTACCTTAGCTATCTCTTTTACTTTAATAGAAGTCAGGTTTGGCCCCCCTCAAATTCGCCGTACTCTTTCTCTATATAAATAAATTAAGGGATAGCATCCCGACCAATTTGGGGTTGTGCCAAAAAAAAAAATTCAAGCTAAATAATATTCGAAAATATTTTTTTTGGCAAATCATTCTATATGCCTCTAAAACAAAAATATACCAAGTTAAAAGAGTGGTATCAAGAAAAAAATTGACACCGCACAAGAAACTTGCAAAGAAAAAACTGACATCACATAAAGAGAGAGCCATCAAGCAACATTGACAACTAAACAAAGGACTCGTAGACTGAGTGAGTCCTAGTAATGTAGCATTAGCAAATCACCAATCTTTCCTCATATCAATACCATCTGCTATGCAAATATAATACACACATCTAAAACTGCATAATCTTTTTGCTTGTACATCTATCTGAAGTAGATACTAACATATCATAGTTAATTGGAACTCCTTATGTCATATTCCCTTACTAATATTGAAGTACTAAAAATATATGGCTCCATTTAATATTTTTTGTAACTACATGGACAACATTATAGTCTATGTTACTAATGTTTGTCTATAAACACCTAGCACACTATTTACACTAATGTCAAATGCACACTCAATATGTGTGTGATGAGCAATCTAGAGTTTTGAGTTGAGAAAACATAGCAAATCAACTATTCAATTTGATGTAATATCTAAGGAAGAAAAATGAAAAAATGAATTAAAAAAAAAGATGTACCTTATTGTTAGCACTATTTACACTAATGTCAAATGCACACTCAATATGTGTGTGATGAGCAATCTAGAGTTTTGAGTTGAGAAAACATAGCAAATCAACTATTCAATTTGATGTAATATCTAAGGAAGAAAAATGAAAAAATGAATTAAAAAAAAAGATGTACCTTATTGTTAGTGAAGGAAATCTACAATCAAACACAAAGTTATTGTATGCAACAATAAAAGCATGAAAATCTTATCGTAAGAGAAGTTTTTTATTGAAATGGAGGGGTTGAATGAGAAAGTTTAGTAGTTTGTAGTTGTGTAGGAGGAGGAGTAAAGGGAATAAACATGATACATTAGTTATTGGGTAATATTGAAAGTGGAGTTTGTACGATGTACGTGATTGCGTGACATTAAAAGGGAAATTTATATGACACGTGATTATTGAACAGTTATCACTGGGATAAACATGAAATAATATGAGAAGAGTAAACATGAAATGATATATAGCGATATTGGATTGTTTATCCCAAGTGCCGCTCCTTTAGCAATATATATTGTATAGATAATTTGGACTAGGTTAAACAATTTCAACCTGGACTAATAAATAATTGGCAACCTCACATAATGTACAAGGTCCTACAACTATGATTTCAAAATTTCACATATTGCAACAATGTCAAATAATTAGAAAGTGAATATTTACCTTAGCTTTTTAATTGTCATCATTTAAGCCTTTTTTTTTTCATTTATCAAAAGTGAAAATCCTTTTGCCAAAATCTTGTACCATAATAAATTTTTTTTGGGTAAAATTTAAAAAGTTCCACATGGTTACTCCATTCATCATAGTTTTCTTTTTTCAAGCTTCAAAAGATAACAAAATAAATACATAAAAAAGAGAAAAAAATTCAAAGACAGAAGACGTTTTCATTTCCAGCAAAACGAGCTTCCTTTACCGCGTCTACCGGCTCTACCAAATCAAAGCTCAAAACACACATAAAAATAAAAGAAAAATTCTAACAGGAGCCAATCATCACTAGCCACGTTATCTTCGGTTGTACCCGGTAAAGCCGGTCAACCATCTTTCCTTCTTCCAATTAAGATATCATAAAATTGAATCCTAGATTCGTGTCCCCTGACCCCTTCACTTTCCCCATTTTCAAACCCCTCCTCCAAAATTTCCCCCACATTTCCCATCCCAAATCTTCTCATTTCAACTTTATATAAATCTAGGGTTTATCTATACCCTTCCCTAGATTCCAGGTGCATATATATATACACAGCTCGCAATTTTACGTATAATTATCCACACAGCTCCTCTGATTTTCCTGCGAGATCTCCGATTCGGTGAGCTTGCACTTCTTCTGTGTAATTACGCATATTTCTTGTTTTAGAAAATTTTCAGTTTCTTTATTGTTCGAACTGGGTAATTTGTGCGTCGAAATATATGCTTGAAATTTGATGAATTTTTTGTAAAATTTATCTACTGGTTGTCAAGTGGTGTAATTTTGGTCTGGAAATTCAGGAAAAGTGGAACGTTATTTTGATTTTTTCCATTTAATTATTGGTTTTTGTTTTGGTTCTGCTAGAAGCAGAGCTTACCTCAAGTGTATTGTAACCTTGTTCGAGTTCACTTAGTTTTTTCATCTATGTTGTAGTGTTTATAGTTGGTATTACAAAATTCAAGTGAGAATTTCGGTGTTGCTGCTTAAAGAAATATTAAAAATGTACATTTAATATATTTGCCTCCTAAAGTATGATTGTAGTTATTTGGTCGTGTGTTTCTGTTTGTCTATTTCTGCTCGACTAATTTGAAATTCTGAGAATCTTCTTGAGCTTGAATGCTTGAAAAGACTAGTTAATTCTCTTTGATTTTTTAATGTGTTTTTTAGGCTTCTGCTAGTGGTTTCTTAGAATAGTCTAGAATGAATGAGTTATGTGATTTTTGAGTTGCTTATTTTCTGTTCAATTTAGGAGATGTCTCGAGCTGAGGAGTTGTGGGAGCGGTTGGTGCGTGCAGCACTACGGAGACAAAGGAGTGGTGCAGATGCATATGGTCGGGTGGATGGTGGCATTGCTGCAAATGTCCCATCATCTCTTGCAAATAACAGGGACATAGATGACATTTTAAGAGCTGCCGATGAGATTCAAGATCAAGATCCTAATGTTGCAAGAATCTGTGAGTGTTTTCCATCTGTGTGTGCATGTCAATTTGCATTCCCTTTTAATTCTTAACAGTGAAATTTTGATGGTGATTGATAATTAGCAAACAAAGTGTTGCAGTGGCATTGTTACTGATAGACTGAAGTACAGGCTGATATATGTGTAATTTGATTTCTAAATTATTTTAGGACTCCAACTTTGTAGTTAAAAATTTGAGTGCTAAATGATAGTTCATGATAAATAGTGGATCACTGTTCCTTTTCAAGGATCATAAACCAGATTATTGCTAGCTAGAATCCAAAAGTTGATCAACTTAAATGAACTTTGACCTGAAAAGCAGAAGTAGAATTGACCTGCTACTGACTGAATGGAGCTAAGCATTGTTTACTGCCTAAATGTCGAACTTAGGAAGTTGCCTCCCCCCGCCAACCTCTTCTTTTATGTCCTATTTAGTAGAGCAAACATTTACTATGTTCTACTCCATTATCGCATTTTTTTTCGTTAATAGAAAAACCACCTTGAGATGGTGTAGGCCATCGGGTGGTTCCCAATTGTTTTATGATATATACAATCAGACATATGAGGCATGTGGAGACATGTTTCTAAATGAAAAAACCTAGAGTTGCTAAACTGAAATATGAGCAATTTTACTTATATATTCAAAATTTGCTGGGTGAACGATGTGGAATGATGATAATTATTATGCCTCATTTTGTTGGCGCAACCATCCATAGTAGGAAGAGCAATTAGCATGCACTGAATGTGAAGAAATGGTAACCTGGTAATCAGCTTGCAGGAAATCTAAAGAAATATTATTATCTCTTAATACTTTTAAGGAGATGTCTGCCTGTGTAAGTACCATGAATAGTAAAATAGAATCGCTTAGGTAAAAGAGTAAAGCTATTGCTAGCCCTTTTCAGATTAAAATAGAAGGCAAAGGCATAGATGCTAAGAAGTTTAATTCTGCATATGGGTTTCATTGACCTTGGCCTTTATGGATATAGTTGCCATTTGATTGAAGAATGAACAGTATTAAAATATTTTGTGGACATAAATGTTCAAAAAGTCATGATAAATAATAAAAATCTCTTATGCAAAGAGATATAAATGTTATGAAAGTGAAATCATCTTGAATAGTTTTCTTCCTTCCAAGTAACTCACGCAAGCACATCTGCTTTACAGTAAAAGAACTGCAGAACTTGTTACTTAATTGCCGCGTATAACCTTATTGTTCCAAATTCCTTCCGAGTCCAGACTACATATGTAGTTAAGAAATGGAGGATGCATCATGGGATTGACAAAACTTTCTCTGTCCAACCTTAGTTCTTGAGTGAGACAAAGCTCAAAAATACCAAGATTAATACTTGATATCATAGCTACTAACAAAGAAAAGAGGTTATCAATTGTGATCAGGGTATGCTGTAAGTTATGATGGCAGAAGTTTTGGAAAGAGTTACCTTTGGTACTGGTTCATTTGTTTCAGGTGCAAAATTTTTTAAGCAATGATTAGTCCAAGACAGCCAAAAGTGGTTTTCTTCCAGAAATTTTAGGGGGTGCTTGGTTCAAGCTTAGGAATCGGGATTGTAATTGGAATCATACAAAAAAAGTTATTATGTTTGGCCAAAGGTATGATTACAAAATTGGGTGCTTGGTAAATATTGGTGAGGAATGAGTATCAAATTTAATAATCAATTTTTTAGCTATAATTTCTTTTTTTTTCTTTTCATATATTTCTTCTTCCTCATTCGGATCCTTATCCCACATACATATCCACCATAACGTCGTTGAACCAGCACCCAACCATGACAACACCCATTGAACCAGCACCTAACCACCACCAATTAGTATCTATATTCAATTTTTGGTAGAGACAAGGGAGCAGCAGAAGCAACAGTCCCAGTGATGCAGTGATAGCTGAAGCAGATCTGGATTTGATTTTGTCAAAGTTTATGACCAGAAATTGGAGTATACCTGCATAATTTCAATTTCCCAATCATCAATACAAAGGGAGGCTCCACAGCAGCTATATTTCAGCAAAAATAAAGGGGGCAAGTGGGTTGGTAGTCAAGAGGAAGAGCCTTGAGGACCTTGGTGCTGCCATAAGAGGATTAGAAAAGTGATTCACGAGAATAGGAGGGTGACAGCTATGGATGATGGGGAGAATGAGTGACAAGGGAGGTAAAGAGATAGAGAGAGATTGGGGCCATAGAGAGCAAGAAGAGAGAGCTACGTGAAGAAGGGACCAGAAGCTATTTTTTTGTTTTTCTGATTTTGGAATCAAATGTGGGATTCATCAAAACCCCCAATCTAGTTGAGGATTGCGAGTGGCTGCTTTTTTAGAATTCATTCCAAGATTTCAAAACCCATACCCATTAGCCAAGCAACAGTTGTGGAACTCAATCCAATTCTTGATTCCTATACGCTCCAACCAAGTAGCCCCTTACTATTAAAATCCTGGCCTTTGAATAATCTGACTGTGAGATTCTTTTTTAGTACTTGGACTGCCTTTTCCATTTAGCGTCCTTGCCAACCTAAGCAAGGCTTATTTTCTTGAGTTCAAACTGGACCTCCAAGACTATGTGTAAGTATATTAGCTATGCAGAAAATATTGGAGAAATTGAGTGCTTTCCTTAAATGGGCAAACTGACATCTTTCATGATGCTGTCAATCCTCTATGGTGAAGCGGCAATACAAGTGATAATAAATTCAAATTCAACGGTTTTTAATAAGGCACTGTTTGGAACTTGTGCAAATGTAATAAGCATGTTTAGCAATTCAATTTCTTGCTTTCTAAGTGACATTTCGGTGAAAATTACGAGAACATATATGCTTGTTGAATCTTTCAAGGAAGCGTAGCATGCTGCCAGAGATAAGCCAAGGAAGTTTTAAGGAGAAGCTACGTTGAAAATTGACATTTAAAGTAGAACTTATTTTACGTAATCTTTTAGTGGTGAAAATAAAGGTACACCAAAAGGTGCTTTCTGAATCTCTCTCTCTCTCTCTCTCTGGTCTACACGTAAAGGATAACGTCTCAAGTCAAATTTTACATTTGATATAACTGGGATAGCTGTACTTATCTGAATGATGAGAGGCCTTTAAAGATCTTTATATAGTTGATTATGTCGGGAAAATCTGATTTGTTCTTTAAATGCAGTGTGTGAGCATGCATACTCACTGGCACAAAATCTGGATCCAAACAGCGAGGGAAGAGGTGTATTACAATTTAAAACTGGCCTGATGTCTGTGATCAAGGTACCTTTTCCATGGCTAGATTGTTGGATAATATGTGCTATCACATTCATTTGGTAACATGTGGAAGTCGTGGTTTTTTATAAATTCTTGCAGTGTTGCTAAGTATTTTTTCTTTGTTTTGACCATTTGGTGACAGGTGGGATCCCATGTAGTTGGTTTTTTTCTTCTTAGCATCAACTATTACAAATTAACTTTCTCCATTTCCAGAGTACTATTAGCTATAGAACATTAATCTTTTAGTTTCTGTACTTGGAATTTATTTATAAGCAGTCTATTGGAGTTTCTGATAATAGACAATAGCACTTTGCAGTCACTGATATCTGAAATTACTTGAGAAGGGTGGAACCTTGCTCCACCTAGGGTCTCACTTTAGTTTCTTTCATACTACTAACCTCAGTTATGCCAAGTCAATAAAATACAGACTTTATTTTGTGTAATTATTTTAGTGCTCTACTATGTCTGACCGTGTGGGAATGTGCTGCTGCTTTTGGTGATATGTTTTTTGAATGTATTTTGTTTTAATATATAAGTGATGCTGATTGTTCATTACTTGTAGTAGAATTTTATTTAATTTCTACTTAGTTTGCGGTATTGGATATGTTAAATATGCATCCCTGTAATACTGCTGGTTGTGCAGCAAAAACTGGCAAAAAGGGAAGGTGGAACTATTGATAGAAGCCAGGATATTGCTCGCTTGCAAGAGTTCTATAAACAATACCGAGAGAAAAATAATGTGGACAAGCTGCGGGAAGAGAAATGCAGCTGAGGGACACTGGTGTTTTCAGTGGTAAACTTGGAGAGTAAGTGCAGTTTGACTGGATGCTGCATCTAATAATCTGTGCTTTCATGCTAGATCTAAAACTCTATATGTTTCATTTGTTCTTATTGTTGCTTTTCTTTTAGAAGATGAGCTTCATATCTCTGCATACACGTCTATTGTGCTGTTGTTTCATTATATGAAGCCAACTGTTTATTAGATTCATTATTCCTGTAAATGATGAATGTTAAGATTTACTTTTGGGAAAATAGAGAATTCTGGAGGTAAGTAATGGCTTCTAGGACATTGTTTTCTCTTAAAGCCCAAATTTATGATGTAGTTTTGCTGTTGAGTCGTATTTATTTTTATGAATTGCTTATGCAGGTCAAGAATTCATAATCGAAATGGCAGCTTTTTAGATTTTCTTGCATGCTGGCTAGAAGTCTAATATGGTTCCCATGCCTGCAATTTTTTGGAGTCTCTGTTTTCTTTTGAGGACCTGTCTTCCCATACGTGTGTGTGTGTGTTTTCCCGGGGTCAGTGGTGTCATCGGCACATTCATGTCTTCTGATTTAGATGCTGATAACAAAGTATCACATGCCTTGTATAGTGGATACTTATGGTTGTCTTTCGTGGTGATTGAGTGCAAGGGTATCGTTTTCCTAAAGATCAATTGAGCAATGCTTTTTGGAGGAATTGCAATAACGAGTGATACTTGTGGGCGCTATTTATGTTAGAATAATTCACTATGGAATGTACTCAGAGGCTTGTTGTTCCTAAACACTGAATCTTGTCACCAAAATGGATGTACTTTCAGCCACACAATAATTATTTTTGGATGCTTGAATGTCAAGTACAGATTTTTTACGTGATTGAAGCCATTTTACAATATTTTCTTGATTTTAAATTTTATCCATCCAAATATGTCTTTTCTGCTTTATCGGTAATTAGGTTGGAGCGTAAAACTGTGAAAAGGAAAAGGGTTTTTGCAACTCTTAAAGTTTTAGGGAATGTTTTAGCGCGCAGCTTACAAAGGAAGTCTCTCCTGAAGAAGCAGAAAGATTGATTCCAGAAGAGGTTTGAAATCTTTGTCTTATACATTATTTTGTTTTTGATTTTGGAGTTCAATTTTGGGTGCATTTGATGGCTTTTAATATGTCTGGCTTATCTTTGGTTCTTATGACTATAATCTGTTCTTTCGTGGATATTATAGTATTATTTCCTATGGAACCCGGAAGTTATGGTTAATATTGCTTTCTGGGTGTTGGTTGGATGGAGATTCATTGGATTACTATTCTAGAATCCTCACCGAAATTTAGTGCAAGAAATTTATTTTTCTTTTTCATCACCTTTAATGCAACAAGGTCTATTCCAAAGATGTAAGAAAGTTGGGGAAAATTTTTCAAGATTATTTTGGTTATACTTTCTTCAAAAAATTATTAACTCTGTTCAATTCTTTTCCGGAATTGATTCCACAATCGACTCATTTTGGATGCAATCTTGTACCATAATATCCTTTAGGAAGTTGGAAAAGTTGCCATATACTTATTATTCTTGTGTTTGTTATGTTGTAAAAGGATGAAATGCGTGAGAATGGTGATGTACTCAAAATTATCATAAAACTTCGTTTTATCCTTGTATTTGTTATACTTGGAAAAGTTGAAAAGTTGCTATATACTTATTATCCTTGTGTTTGTTATGTTATAGAAGGATGAAATGCGTGAGAACGGTGATGTACTAAAAATTATCATAAAATTTCGTTTTATCTATTAGATATTATAATTCTAATATGTACTAAATTTATGAAATCGGTTTGATTATTGGATGAAATGTGTGAGAATGGTGATGCATGGATTTTGATTATAATATATCTACCAATGTTAATTGGAAAGCATACTTTTTTTTATTGGAAAACATGTTGATATTAAGTGAAACATATTTTTTTATTGGAAAATAGTTTTATTTTTTTAGGGGTGGGTACCCTATGACCCTCCCCTTTTTTTTGGGTACCCGAATAGCGGTACCCGAAAACATTAGGAGCGGGTTAGGGTCGCAAAATGGCTGATCCGATATTTTAGGGTCGGGTCAGCCATATCTTGTTAGGGGCGGGTACCCGACCGGTGCCCACCCCTTATGCACCTGCAAAAGTTTCTTAATGTTCTTTCATTGTCATTGTCATTTCTTCAGTCAGCCTTCTTGTGGTGTTTTATTTCCTTGCCATTTTTCTTGTGGTCAATTATCTCAAATACAAACAATCGCTTTCTTTTCAGCTGAAACGTGTTATAGAATCAGATGCAGCTATGACAGAGGATCTTGTTGCATACAACATTATCCCGTTGGATGCTCCTGCTAGAACAAATGCTATTGGGTTTTTCCCTGAGGTTGTACTAATTTCTATGGTTACATGAAGTTTTTGCCCTTGTTGGTATTGCTATTATTTATTGATTCTACTCAGTACAGGTCCGAGCTGCATCTTCTGCAATAAAGTACTTCAGGGGTCTACCAAAGTTGCCAGCAGATTTTTCTATACCCCCACAAGGAGTGCAGACATGTTTGATTTTCTGGCATTACCATTTGGATTTCAGGTTGGTTTGTTTATAATAATTTTCATAGTGCGACATGTTTTCTAGTTGTGCATTGAAGTGTTCCGGTCTCTAAGTTTGTGAACACTCTTTATGATCTAGGTGTTGAGTCATTGCTTAACTCTGATCTAATAGAAAGTAACATGTTACATGCTATTATGACCTCTTCAATATGTTGTGATATGTCTTCCTTCTTTTGGATGGTAATCCGCAAGGTGTTTTTCTGATTTTTTACTTTGGAAGTTGAAATATGGATTGCCTTGTACAGTGACAAACAAGAGGAACAATGAGTTCTAACCCTTCAGTAATTTCTAGCTCTAGCTGCTAAGGCGGAATTAATTGCTTTAGCTGTGTTAGCTACAGGAGATGCTTTTAATATTGAGATTGCTGCAGAATGGAATGGGAATGCTTGACTGAGTCAGTTGGAAGCTTTCCTGAAGCTTCCTTCCTGGCTTCTTGTCTCATGTTCGTCTTTGTAGATCTAGAGAGATGAGCAAATTGATATTTGGATACCATATTTGTTTCTCTAAGATAACTGCCAATATTTTGTCAGTTTTGTTCTATAATAAGTTTGTAATTATTATTTAGTCAGCATAGGATTTTGAATGTGGAAACCTCGAGGATGATGAGTCCAAAAATGACTGATCTGAAGTTAATCTGAGGAGGAATGCTATCTCAAGGACATAATATGTGCTTTGGATGGTTTTTCCATCTTTATTGAGATGAATTTTAAATTCTTTCTTGAATTAGCTCTTTGACTTGGGATATCAATGTAATAACTGTAGGCCTGTGGAATGTGAATCTCGAGTCCAGATTTAGAATAATATTGTCGTTTCTAGCTTCAAGCTTTTACTTGTAATTTTTCCAGTATATTTACTCATGCCCTTAGGTTCCTAGGCTCAAAAACCGTTTGTCAAGAGTTTTCCGATTCACAGGCTTGAGTTCATCTTTTGGTGAAAATTTTTACAACATTTTGCCTTTGCTTTATGTTCCTTTCGCAGAAAGTCTTATGTTTCTCATGTGTGTTATGATGTTGTGCTTGGCTTGTCATTCTAAGTGAGAGTGGCAAATATAGTTTTGTTAAAAATCAAATTTAGATGCTGTCATATCATGGATTTGATTCTCTTTGGTTCATATAAGCATGTGAATTGGTTGGTCATTACTTAGACCCAATCTTGATCCATCATTTTTTTTCTTAGGTTTGGGTCCAAACTTTTAAATCCAATCCCCACCCAAATCCAAATCTTGAGAAATAATCATGGGTCTGGGTAGGTTCTGATTTTACATGATCCATGCCTGGAACCTACCCATACCCATATACATATATGGAAAAAAAGAAAATGGAGGACGTTTGAACACATGGAGCCTTGAAATTTTGAATATATAATAATTTTCATACAAGCAAAATTATTTGATAATATTTCATGCTATCAGTTCAATAAAAATTGTTATATTTAACCAGGCATATCAATGGGTAGGGTCTGGATTAGATCTCTTTGATCCAAAGACAGACCCATTAAATTTAGTTAGACCCAAACCAGAGCCAGACCCTTATGGGTCTGAAAAAAAGGTCCAAACCCAGACTGTCCTGGATCTGGGTATCCAATGGATATCCATTATATTTTTGTAAATGCACTAAAATAAAAATATATAGATTTCAAAAATATATGTAAACACCATCCAATTTTTATTTTCAAATAATAAAACTAATATTCAAGAAGTTGAATGCAATATTATGAACTCAAAAAAAAACTACTATCGACTGCTTCTATTTATTTTTAAAATTTCAACTGTATCTACATCAAATCTTTCATTTAGGTGTCTTTACTTTTTCTTCTTTTTCTGAAAAAAATTGTACTATACAATGACAATTAGGATTAGGATGAAAAAAGAAAACAATCATAAAGTCTTACTATATTTGATTCAATAAGGATAGAATATTAGAATATTTTATAAATTTACTAATATATATATCTATATTATTTAATTATATATACATGGGTCTGGATAGGGATTGGTATGGGTTTGGATTTGGATACGAATTATAGAAAATTAGACCCTATCTAGACCTGTAACTCTTTTACAAGGTCTGGGTTTGGGTAGGGTTTGGATTTGAGAAATTAAATCCTAACCCTGCCCAAGTACATTAGATCTAGGTTGGATTTGGGTAAAGATCAGATCCATTGACATGCCTACATTTAACATTCTTGAACGTTGTTTGATTTTGTTAATTTGTTATTTGAAATGGTAGTTGGCTAATATTTTTGTTATCTTTGAATTACATGTTTATATTAGTTTTTATTTAATTTTTAATTGCACGTTTGGAAATACCTATAGATATCCATTGTATACCTGGCTTTTGATTTTCTTTTTTTCAAACCAGATCTAGATATTAATAAAATTCATTGGGTCTGGGTCTGGGTCTGGATCTGGATCAAGTGGATACAACCCAAACCCTATCCATTGAGATGCCTAGGTAGATAAACACTGAAAAAAGTTTCTTTAACATGAAACTTGAAACATTCATCATAAAAGAAGGTTCTGTAATTAAGTGTACTTTAAAGAGGATTCTATGGTACTTGAGGTTTATTAATAGATATTAGAGGCTTTTCATCTTAGGTTGATATTAGCTATAAGTTACTCTGATCTGTTGTTTTTTGTTTATACCTTTGCTTTAATAGATGTTGGGCTGAAAAAAGCCATATGTTAAAGTACCATTAGAATGGAGGTGCTTTTGTTTAACAATCTTTGCTTTTCAGGTTATTTATAGCAAAATGGCATCAAGTCTTTTAAAGAATTATGTTGAGGAATCACTTTTTTCAGTACTATTTTAAAGGCTTAAGTAAAGAAGAAGCTATCAGCAGTGGAACAATATCTTTTTGACACTGGTCTAAACTTTTTCCTCTTGGAAATTCCACCATAAGTTTGCTGGCTGTTTTGTTTTTGAACTGATGCCTTTTTCGTTTGTTTGTGGTTTAGGCCAACTAACGTGGTTTAAATTGTGAATATTGTATCTTTTGGCAGAAAGATAATGTTTCTAGTCAACGTGAACATGTTGTTCATCTCCTAGCTAATGAGCAAAGTCGGCTTCGAATTCTTGAAGAACCTGAGCCGGTAAGTTTGGCTTTTCGCTCTCTTCATCTTCTTTTTATTTATTTATTTTTTAATTTTAATTTTTTAGTGTTTTTAATATTTTCGCAGTTTCTTGTGCTTGTGAGCAATTTTGGACCTATATGGGGGCAAGTGGGGGCTGCTGCCTGCCAAGTTTTTGAATTTAGTTTTTTTTCGTGTTGAAAAATTAACTATTTTCGAATAGAATCTAAGAAGATTAGAATTTATCAGCACAATATATTCCCAAAACTGTCAACTGAACTGAGATTCTGGATATAAGGTGGATTAGATGCTGGTTGCATTGTCCTGCAACTTTTGGCTGGCTAGGGACAAGGTTGAGCTCTAGTTTTTATTCCAGCAGGAAAGTAGTAGCTGCTTCCTTTTAAGGCTTAATCTTCCAGCTCTGTCATTATCCTGCTCTTAAAGTTTCATTCTTTCTTGTATTCTTAGGTTTTGCTAGTCCTTCATAAGTGCTTTTAGGCTGAACATGAAGTCCTGAGTCTACTGCTCATTTATTTTACTGGTCTGCACCTGATGTTCTTAATGATTTAGGGAAAATTGGCAGTGGCTCAACTATGCTATGCAATACTTAAAATTTTTCTAATCTGTAGCTTTGCTGAAGCTGCTCTTTCAATTGTCCATATGCACTCTAATATGCGTTCTTCTTGATGATTTTTGTTTGCCCTCTGTCTTTAATAATTCATCGTAGCTCCAGAATTGTTTAGTTGCTGTAGGACCTTGTAGATTTTAATGCCACTTTAGGACTTGAACCTTCCACCCATAAGCTTAGGATACATGGATCTCTTTGTTGGTCACCTGAACCTTGTGAAATCTTGTTTGCCAGGATGTTTACCTAGCTGCTCCTGGTCTGTGTCATTAGGATCAGAATTGGCGTTTTTTGGCGAAACGAGTAAGAGCGGTAGAAAACTGTAACCACAACCATTGATCTGTACATAAGCATGCGGTGTAGTGACATAGTAATCATCTTATGTTAAAAGAATGTGATGGTTTTCTTTAAATCATCTGTATAAAGTTAAATATCTTTATTGACTCATTTTATTTCTTTCAATCCTAGGTGTAGACAGTTACTTTGTCTGGGTTTTATTATTTCAATTCTAGAAACCAACTCTGCTAGGTTTTGATTTCTAGGTATATGTTTTAGGGAATCTTATGTTTATCTTGAGGTTCTCTATTGTGCTTTTGCTTCAGATTTTGGATGAAGCTGCAGTTCAAAATGTGTTTATGAAGTCACTTGAGAACTACATTAACTGGAGCAGATATCTTGCCATCCTTCCTGTATGGAACAAGTATGTTGGAATCCATCTGAATGTTTTATGATTAGCAGAGAGTTTAATTTATTGGTGGGGAGGGGGCAGTATTGATGTTTCTTCAACCTGGATGCTGTATGTCTGAGAATATGCCTGTCTTTTGCAGTTCGGAAGATGTGAGCAAGGAGAAAAAGTTATTGTTCATTTCGTTATATTTTCTAATATGGGGTGAAGCCTCCAACGTTCGCTTTCTTCCGGAATGCCTATGCTACATCTTTCATCATGTAGGTTACCTTGCACCAACAAGTTACTTTTTTTTTGCCTCTTGTTTTATATTGTTGTTTTGGCAGAAAAAGGATTGGTGGGATTGAGATTGTGTTTTTGTGCCTTGCGTGTTGCTATGTAGTGTCTAATCTACTTAAGGACAAGTCTTTGTTCTTTCTGCATTTGTGATTATGGTGTTTGGTTTTGTTCAGAATTCTTAATGTGTATTACAACTGTGAACTGGATAAACAGATGGGACGGGAATTGGAAGAAATACTGCGCCAGCAGGTTTTACAGCGTGCAAATAGTTGTGTTTTGGAGAATGGCGTGTCATTTCTTGATCAGTAATTCGTCCTCTGTATGATGTGGTTGCTGCGGTATGTTTCGATGTTTTTCTTGAAGTTTCTGTCTTCCCCTTCTTTCTGTTTGTAACAAACTATCAGAATTTAGCCGAACCACTATGCTGTTTCCATTGTGATATATGATGATGATAAGATAATGATAATGATGGTCACTAAAGATTTTTTTTTTACTTTTTCTACCAATTATTTGAAACTTGGACTGGATGGTATCATGGTGATCTGTTTCAAAAAGGTAACAAAATTTGTCAAAAAAGGAAAATAAAAGTTGAAAACCCTGTCCATAGGGGATTACCTAGCTCAAGAGACAAGAATCTCAATGGAGAATGCTGGAATGGCATCCTAGTGTACGTTTGGGTCCACCTGCTAGTAAATAGTAATGTTATACATTTTGGTCTGGACTACTATGAAAATGGCATATTATCTTGCCCGGTAGTTGCATTGTCAGTTTCAATGATGTTTTTGTTCATGTTATAAGTTGGACATGTTGTATTGTATTTCCTTTTGAGTCCACCTACAAAATGCAACTGAAAAGCACGACATTCCTAAGCGATAGACACGAACATGGGAATCCCCAAAATCAAGGAGGTGGGCAATCTTTTAGTTTGTTTGTCACTTGTTATGTCGCTTAGTATGGGATTGTCCTTTCCTTTTTAGTTGATATTGTGGAGTAGAAGTTTTGGTTTTGATTGTGCATTTGTGAAAAATTTATCTCAAGTGGCAATGAATTTCTTCAAAAATGTCTTGTTTTCAGAGTTGTAGAGGTGTTGAGATAGGTTAAAAGTGTGGGCCTTTTGTATGGAAATAAGATCTGTTAAAGTGCTATTTGGACACCAGAAGCATCTCTTGAGCAGCTATTCACTTAGTTTATGCATAAAATATCCTTCAGTTTTGGCTGACAAATTTCTAAGGCTGGGACAAGATCTGCTCTCCAATGTATCCAAGTTTTCTGGTTTCAAGCCGAAGAAACTATAACAATGTTATAGCTCTCTCCCATTTTTTGGGGACCAGGGGGGAAACACAAAGTTCTGCCCACTGATTGTCTTAAAAATTTTCTCTCATGAATAGGAAATAAAGATATTTTAATAGATACAGGAGTCAGTGGAAAGGGGGGGTTGCGGGCAGGGATTTCAGCTACTATTAATGAATAATTTCATTACTGTGCCGTGAATAATTTCGGCTACTATAACACACTATTATGCTTTTTGGTGTTTAATGTGGGAAAAAAAAACATGTTTTGAACACTTTCAAGACCTGATGACTGATAATGGATTACAAGAAACAAAGGATTTTATGAAATGCATTACCTTTTTTTAAGATGCATATCAACCATTTGTTTTACAGGAAGCTGCTAACAATGACAATGGGCGAGCAGCACATTCAGCCTGGAGAAACTATGATGATTTTAATGAATACTTTTGGTATGCTTGATATTGAGCCCTTTATTTATTTATTTATTTTTATAAATTCCTGCTAACTTTTATTCTTTTTTAGGTCTCTCCGTTGTTTTGAGCTTAGCTGGCCCTGGCGCACGAGTGCTTCATTCTTGTGAACCTACACCTAGGTCAATGGTCAGTAATGTTTATTTTTCTATTGCTAAAAAATGACTCTAAAGGTTTAGGCCTTGTTTGGTTTTCAGTGTTCTAAGGAAAAATTTACGTTTTCCATGAACACAATTCTAATCACCTTTTTATCTCACATACATCAAATTGCTATGGTATATTTCTACAAAAACTCCAAAAAATAGCAATCCAAATGGGACCTTGTGTTTTTATGAGGTGTGACATGGAAAATAGTAATGCATGGCTTTTACTTCTGTGAGGCTTTCATATGACTTGATTCCTTGTGTGTGCAAGTGATGCCACAAATTGTTTGAGCTTTTGTCAGCATATTTGTGAATAAGTAAAAATGTAATATGACTGCTTATTGAACAGTTTTGACTTCACTGTAGTTCAAAAAAATACCAAATTTAAGCTTGAGGGTGGAGCCTATTTAGTTTTCTTATTTTTTGAGGTCAAAATCAACAAGGACATAATTGGCTCACAGGTTGCAAGCTGACCCCACTTAGTCTCCGTATTTTGGATGAAGGCGTTTTATGATTTTGAAACAGTAAATAGGATGCTGATAGATAAATTATTTCGAATGAGTAATATGTGAAATGTCTAGTGTCTGCAAACATACAAAGTTGGCTCGCATTTTGATAAGTTGAATTTGGGAGGTTTTGAATAAATTTTTTGGAAAATAGTGCCTAACAAGCAACTTAGATCGTAGAAAATAGGCATGATTTTGACCTAACTCGATACTAACTGGTGCCAAGCAAATTTGTAGCAGAGCATGAAATAGAATTTTGTGTTCATTATCAAGTGAACTAGTATTTGAGCCTGACATAAATGATCTAATCAAGTTCGAATCCAACCATTTTGGGGTCACTTCAATGGTGATTAGATTTGTTTATAGCACTATGTGTAAGTAAGCATTTGCAGCATAATTTTAGTTGATTAATCTTTAGTTGTTGTTCTGCTTCTGTATGGGGATATTAAACTTCGGAAGGTGCATGAGTTGAGAGTTTTTGGAGAACCCAACATATTGTAGCTATTTTCTAAGCTGCACCTTAAGTTGCGTGAAATGCTTGTATTTAAAGAGTGATAAGTTGGCTGGGGTTGCCATGGTTGAATTTTCCTGAAGAATGATATTATATCTTTACCAAACTGGAAAGGGTGTTCCTTTGTTTTTCGCGAGGAGTTACTGTTGGGCATAGTTAATTGTATTTTGAACAGATACATTATTTGTCACGTTGGCCAAGAATTCTAGCTTATTATTTATTTGCGAGTAAAAGTGCTTTTTTCTTTTCTTGTTTATTTTTTTGGAGCGTTTTAATAGATTGCTCTGTTTGTGCTCGTAATGAATAATGAATGTCATGCTTTCTGTATTTTTGCTTTATTTGAGTTGTACTTAAATTAGATTATGAAAAATTATTGGTGGTAACCTATGTTTTGTTTCCTATGTTGATTTTTTCAGAATGTTTTAAAATCTGGAGGAAGTAACATCGAGGAAAAACTTCTTTTGTGGAGCACAGGACATTTCTTCATCTTTATCACAGTTTTCACCGCCTGTGGATATTTCTTATTATGATGTTTCAGGTTAATGATGCAATAGCCAAATTTGTGCTTGATTATATCTTCGAAAAATATGTTTTGCGCTTCAATTTGCATTTGTAGTCGCAGTTGTATTGGATGTTGGAGTTTCTGCCTATGTATTCCTTGAAAAAGTTGGGTCTTTGCATGTTATGTTGTTTGTTGTGTGTGCATGGTTCATTCTCTTTTTTTGTGGTGGGTTTGCATTGTTTGTGTTAATTACTTGTTGGAGCCTTTCTCATTTTTTCTCTTTCCTAGTTTTGAGGTCTGGGTGCTGCGTGTAGGGCTGCAAACGAGTCGAGTCGAGTCGAGTTTTGGCCTAATCGAGTCGAGCCTTGACTTAATTATATTGAACTCGAGCTCTAGCTCGACGAGCTGACAATTTAAAGCTTGAGTTCGAGCTCGAGTTCGAAAAAAATAAAAATAATTATTTTATTTTTTTAAAAAATAAATAAAATAAATATTTTTGCTTAATAAATAATAAAATATTAAGGATATATATGTAATTTTACTATTAAAATAAAAAAATACTTAAAATAAAATAAAAAAATATATATACTTAAAAATATATATATATATATACACACACATACTCGAGCTCGCGAGCCGGCTTTCGAGCTAACGAGCTTAATATTTTGAGCTCGAGTTCGAGCTCGATTTCAACTCGAGCCAGCTCGATCGATATTGATCAAGCTCAAGCTCGACTCGAGCCGCTCGCGAGCGACTCGGTTCGTTTGCAGCCCTAGCTGCGTGCATTCTAGACTTGATTTCTCTTTTTGCTATCCATGTCATATGTATTCTATTTGAGTTCAAAATGGATCCCTTTGGCTTTGAGTCTGTTGCTTTTCTTCTTTTTTTGGGTTGAGTTGTTAAAATAAGTAATTCCTAGACAGGTGATTTTGAAAATTGATTGGCCATATTTGCCTGAAATGCTTCTGTAAGCGCAAATATACTGTGCCTGTTCTCAGTTGCTTACAAAAGCTGATTATAGCTTTTTCTTAGCTAAAAGCTGTTGTTCAATGTGGTCCTTTGCCCTTAACTACTTCGTTTAGCTCATTTGAAAATGCAAAATGCTCATTCTTGGAGCAGTCCTTTTGATGTTCTGAAATAGCTTTGGCTTTGTCAAATTTGCAATGACATGCTTCAATTTTTGCTTTTCTTTTTCTCAAGAGCTTTATTGATAATTACATTTCCATGATGAACTTTAGAATGTTGAGAGAAACAAGAATAAGGCCATTAAATAGCATCCCTTAGAGTGTTTCTCAGAAGTAATTTCTTTTTGATCTAAAGATAATTTAATAGGTAAGAAGTGAAGGAGACCTTGTCAAAAGCCAGTTTAGTTTTAAAAAGCTGGAATTAGCTTTGTTTAGCAAAGGAGCAGACCCTTGTTGTCCATTGCAATAATGAATTCTATTTCCCATGGTTTAAATAGGTAACTGGAATTAATAATCTGGTTCTCTCTCTCTCTCTCTCTCTCTCTTTACAGGGACTTGTCAAAAGCTCAATTTTGTTTTAAAAAGCTGGAATTAGCTTTGTTTAGCAAAGGAGCAGACCTTCTCTATTGCAATAATGTATTCTATTTCCCATGGTTTAAATGGGTAACTGGAATTAATAATCTGGTTCTTGCTCTCTCTCTCTCTCATACAGGGACTTGCTGTTATTGGCTTCAATGATGGGCAATTTGACTCCAAGACGATACGCGAACTTCTTAGTCTTGGACCAACATATGTTGTGATGAAGTTTATTCAGAGTTAGTTTTCTATTTGGAAGTTTCTACTTAATGCTGTTTAAGGGTCCATTTGGTTGGATGTAAAATGATTTCCAGGAATTAGGGTTTCACAGGAAATAGTTTTAATGAATCTTTTCTCATAATTTTCTCATGCATGGTTTAACTTGAAGAAAATACTTTTTCACACAATCAGAGGTCACTATCAACCATCAGATGCACACGTATCTCAACACTTAGTACCAAGCATAGCTTGTATTCTTTTACTGGTCAACACCAGCAAAGTCATGCCACCTGCACCACCATCTCTACATTTCCCAGCCATGCACTACTCAATCTAACCCTATTTGACTGTCGCCGCTAAAAGCCTTCACCCTCCCAAGGAAAAAAAAAACAATTGTGGGATTATGGGGTTGCAAAGGGAAGGAAGGGCGTTTAATATGAAGGATTTGCAAAGGTTACTGGTGAAGTTGCTCTCAAAGACAGCGGAACAATTTTCAGTTAAGGTCTCCCTCAGCATTTTTTGTTGCATGATATTCTTCTGAGGAAGACATGTGATTTATCATAGACTCAACCATTAACTAGCATGCTTTGAATAAGAGAAAACAAACTTCGGTAAATCTTTTATGGAAGTTGTTTGACATTGGATTGGGGAAAACAGCTTATAATGGTAATTTTTTTTACTGAATTCAGTGCACCCATGCACCAGAAGTTCTGGAAAATATTTTTAGAAAAAATTCAGTCCAAACAAATGGACCCTAAGTGTAGCTTGGGCAGACCTTCATGTTTCGTTGGCTTCTTCTGTGGCTGCTGAAGTTGTTTTCACTGTTGCAGGTGTCTTGGACATTCTAATGATGTATGGTGCTTATTCTACATCAAGGCGTGTAGCTGTTAGCCGAATTTTTCTCCGTTTTATCTGCTTTAGTTTAGCTTCCGTGTTCATATGTTTTCTCTATGTGTATGTTCCTCCTTTTCTCATTTATTTTATTTTTTAAACTTCTGACCACTGTGCATTTCTCCATATTCTGGTAAAGTAAGTGCATTTACTATTAGTTTTATGTGGTTTGATTGCAGGAAAGCTCTTCAGGAGGAGAATAAACCCAATTCTGAGTCAATTCTTTTCAAAATTTATGTTGTTATCCTAGCTATTTATGCCGGACTTCATGTTTCTCTCAGTATTGTTATGAGAATACCTGCCTGTCATCATTTGGGCAGCTTATTTGACAATTGGCCTCTAGTACGTTTCATTAAATGGATGCATCAGGTTTGGCCAATGCACCAGATGTTTAGTTATCCTTCATTCTTTCCTTGCTTTGGTTAAAGGTGATTTTTAACTAATATACTTGTTGCATTGTTTTAAGGAACATTACTATGTTGGTCGGGGAATGTATGAGAGGACATCAGACTTTCTCAAGTAAGCACTTCAATTTGATTATCCAGTTAAAAATCCTCTTCAAAGCTAGGATGTCTTTTATTCTAGGAGTTCAGCATGTTTAGGAATCTTATCTGATCTGACTCGTTTCTTTTGGTGCCCAACATATTGAGATGCAGCAGTGAATCTACCTAGAGTTTCTTTAAGATTGAAGTGTAGATTAGTCATTTATCCTTCCCAGAGGCTGTATATTTGAATGCATATAATTTGCTTTCTCAGAAATAAACTGAAATTTTTTTTGAGGGGAGGGGGTTGGGTTTCTCTTTATTGAACCATTACTTTGAAGAAAGTGTGTACTGGGAAGTGTTTGTACTTCATTGCCTCTCCCTTTACCCTTTGTGTGAATGCAAAGCCTGATTTCTTGTGCCTTTTTTGCAAAAATTCATGAAAGAAGAGGATTAAAGAACCAGTAGAACTTGGCTGTCTGGATAATCTTGTTTATGCTTTGTTCAATTTGTTGTGCTTGTGTGAGATTGGGACTTGACTAACTGCATGGAGATGTTGGTAATTATTGCTTTTGTATGGAAGTAGTTCCTGTTCAATCCACATTGCCACTTTGGTTAACTTTATTAAATATATTGGACTTAGTTAAGCGTGTGGTTTACCTCGTAGACTTTGATTTATTTATAGTTATTTTGTGTTTGTTTAATTTCTCTTTTACATCTATCAATCTTTAACCTACTACTTTTTAATGTTGAGTTTTATTAGATTTTGGTGATTGCGTCCACAGCTGTCTCCATCATGTTTTTCTTCTTAGTTTCTTCTTTAAATGCCCCCATTAGTGGTTTGATGGATGTTTTTCTTTTTCCTTAATTACTCTTTATTTTACTCTTAGCATCTTCCGGACTTGGGGTTTATATTTATATCTGTTGTTTTCTTGTTATCATTCCTGGAGGATACAGTTGTTATTTTCACTTTACATAATCTTTTTGTTTTTCCTAATTTTGTAAGTTACCATCTATTAATCACTGATAAATCAGAATCAATCATTAATCTGAAACGAAATGATTGATGTCTATTTACTCAAATTACTTTGATTGATGTGTATTTAGGCCATTTCAGTTTCTGGTCAGTTGAAATGAAATGATTGATGCCTATGTATTCAAGTTGTTTATTTCTTTGGTTTTTGATGTATGAATTCTAGTTTTTAATAAGTCTTTTTCTTGATTTTCTTCTTGGCTTTCTAATTCTTAGAATACACTATGCATGGCTATTTGCTATAGAATTATCTTCACAGAATATTCTACAAGTGGCACGGTTTTGTCAGGGAAGTATTGTTGTTGAATGAGTTTAGGGAAATTCTCCTATGACTAGTTGAGAAAATTAGACTTTTGGGCTGTCTGGGCAATCAGAGGTAATGGTTAGGTTGAAGGTGGGGAGAAGAAAAATTAGAGAAGTAAAAGAGGAAAAAATGAGAAAGATTCAGTAAAGATTCTAATCAATATAATCTCTTAAAAAAAGAAGCTGATTATTGAAAATCAAGATTTTGAAAGTACCTTAAAGCTAATTCTATTGTCTTTAGGCATAAGAGATCCATAATTTGTTGTCTAAAATCTTCCAAGACATCTAGGAACCCAAATGAATGTCTAATAGGTATCATGGTGTTCAGGACTCACTAGCTTTAAGTTTTTTAAGTTTCCTGCAATTATGAAATGGAGCTTATTCTCCTTGACTCCAACGTTTTCGAGCAAACAGCTTCTATGTTAACTAGCTGTACAATATCAACCTATGATCCCAAAGACTCGTTAAATTGCATGCCCTTAAAGGCAGTCCTATTGCTTTTTTATTAGGCTTCATAAGGTCAGCATCTTCTCCAACTAGCTTGTAGCCATTGCATTGACTGCATCATTTTTACCTTTTTTTCCTGTATATCACTACTAAGAATATGCAATGAAAGCAGATTGAAGTTAATGATTTACTGTCATGATTAATCAGTTATACTATTTTTTTGGAATATGTGCAGCTTTTATTCTCATAATCATATTTCCTGTAGCTTAGGTGTCTGAATTTTTGGGATTTTCTGTTCGACTTGTATAACTGCTTTTCTAAATTTTTTGGCGTTAAAATGATTTGACTCTATTATTCATGTCTTTAACTTTGTAGTTATGTGAAATTATAGTTGAGGTGAGAATAGTTTGTCAAATATTGAATTGGCTGATAATGTAGCTTCATTGTATGTTGCTTTTCTTTGCTTACTAACTTGTTGGATTACAGGTACATGATTTTCTGGCTGCTTGTCCTGGGGTGCAAATTTTCCTTTGCCTATTTCATACAGGTAATTTTTTATTGCTCCTTTCTAATTTGTGGTTAGTTACCTTAGCAGTGAGCTGTAGTTTTATTGAATACTTTTGTTATCATATGCAGATTAAGCCCTTGGTTAAGCCGACAAGGCAAGTAATAGATATGGAGATAACGAACTATTCATGGCATGATTTTGTATCCAAACGTAAGTTAGTTGACTATTTCCATTGCCTCATTGATTAGTGCATTCTGCGTTTGGTTGGGATCAAGCGTTTGTATTGGTTCACCAAGCAGTTAGATCGAATATTGCATATTATCCTTTCAGTAACCTTTATGTGATTATGTGATTGGGATACTCCCTGCCTTCTGTTTGTTCTTCTCTCTCTCTCCTCGCTTTTCTTTTCTTTTCTTTTTACAAAATCAGCTTGCATTTTCCTAAATTATGCATTGTGTTGGCTTTATCTCATTTACTGTTTGTTAAGCCCTCAATTTGCTTAATTAATGCCTAGGAACTTCTTGCAGATAATCATAATGCTCTGACAGTTGCAAGCTTGTGGGCACCAGTGTTTGCTGTAAGTCCTTTCCTAACGTATTCTTTCCTCTGGTTTTGCAAATGAAAACATGGTTACACATGAAAATAGTTAGGTAAACCTGAATACCAAAGTATATTTGGTCATATTGCAATACGGACTATCCGGAGTTCATTGAGCATTAAATATTAAGTTCGTTTTTCTGTTGTAAGTCTGTTTTAATCATTACTTGTGTTGTTCAATGTTCATAGGAACTACTTCTGTTGACATAATAAAACCCCTGTGCTTTATGTGCTTTTTTCCTTGCTTTTATCTTCATGGGGTCCTCCAACTGTATCTGCCATCAAAGTAAACATTTTTAATAGACAGTAGGATTTGTTTTTTAATATTTTTTAGCTTAAAGATGCTGTAGAAAATTCCTGAGATTATGGTACTGGACTTAAAGCACTTGACCTGAGGTCAGTCATGCAGGCTTCTCGCCTGTTACATCTATTGGACGGTTATATGGAGAGAAATGAAGATCTCCTGTTTTCTTGGCTTCTATGGGAGATGTTAGAAATAGTTAAGGAATTAAGTACTTTATACAAGAAGATCTCTATTGTATACTTGAAGATTTTTATTTTGTCCTTGGCACTTTATTTACTGGCTCATACAAAGTTGTTGTCTGTCCTTTTTACAAACTTCAACTCTATTTTTAATCCACTTTAGAAGGATTAAATTTGTTGTTCATGTTAAGCATATAATTCAGAAGTTTGCTGGGAAAATCAATAGCACAGTTTTTTGAACTCTGTCGATTTCGTTTTAACCTGATGATAAAAGGTTTTACTTTCTCTTTGAGTTTGATAATCTTGTGACGAAGCACATATGCTTGAGATGTGTGCGTTATCTTGGCACCAATATGTCATGCTATTTATTTGGGAACCAAACTTAATTGTTGGTTGGCTTTCACAAGTTATATAGCTTTTTAACTAACCACAGCTCCATGTTGTTTGCAGATGTACCTCTTGGATATCTACATATTTTACACAGTTATATCAGCTGTGTTGGGATTCTTACTTGGTGCAAGAGATCGTCTTGGAGAGGTAAATACTTGTTTATGTCGATTGTTTACTGTGGATTGTACCTTGAGAAGATACTTTACAGATAGCTTATTAGATAAATTGCTTCTTCAATCCAACTATTTCTTGATACTGTTCAGATTAGATCTTTGGATGCCGTTCATAAACTTTTCGAGGGGTTCCCTGAGGCCTTTATGGATACTCTTCATGTACCTCTTCCTAACAGGTACTTTCCTTTTGATGTAGAAAGTTTGAATTCTGGATACCTTTCTTTGTGGTCTATTAAATGTTAGTTTTGCTTTGCAGGGCCTCTCTCCGGTCATCTGGTCAGGTGAACCTTTTTGTTCTTGTGTCCTTGGAAATATTTTCTTTGTTTCTACTTTAAAGCTTGATGAGTTGTATGCACCCAAGCAGTATCCATCTTTACAGCTTGATTTCAACTTGGGAATCTGGAGAAAGTTTTTGTTGACCTCACTTAAATTTTTGAAATGATGTTAAGAGGCAGTATTCATAGTTTACAGTTCTTCTATCATTGGTTTCTAATTTTCTTTTTGGAATAATACCAACACACTTGGAAGGGTATTGGGTTCACAGCATGCTACTGCCTTGTATGAGGTGCAGTAGAGGCATATCTAAACCACAGAATCAGTACAGCTTGAAAACTGCAAAATGAATGCTGCAGATCTGCAGTTGCAGCAATGCAGATTTTTTTTTTTATTATTTTGACTTGGAGGAATATGCCTATATTGTTTAAAAAATGTGGACATGATGACCGAAGGCGAAAGCATTTCCTATCTTGTTATTATTTTTATTTTATTTTATTTTTATATATCATCTATTTGATATAATAATAACTGGCTAAAGTTGACGATCCAAAATTACTAGTTTACCAAATTTACAAAAGTTTTCTCGACTCAAGGAAGGCCCGTAGTGGCTTGCACTAGCAGCAATTGGTCTAAAATATGCCAAATTCAATTCACGACGTGAATTCCAGATTGACTTATGATCGTTACTAATGATTTGAAGCCCCTTTCCAAAATATGGTAATTCATCTAGATTTTGTTCTGAGAAAGGATAGTTTTTTTCAAGAAACATCCTCTCAGGTCCATTTTCTGTGTGAGATTGAATTGTGTTTTCTCTATGATTGTTTACTTTTACTGTGTCTCCTTGTTTATCTTTGGGACTAAGATTACGAGGGTGAATTAGTGCTTTGGGCTTCACTTTTCAACCTTTTTTGGGGTAAATTGCCTGATCTCCTGCTCTTGGCTAAGGATCATATGGAGATATGGTGAACAGACATGACATCTTTCCAAGGTTGATGCAAAATATTATGGATATGTAAAATTAGTATATTTGGAGTCTTTCTTTGAAGTTGAATTTTATTTGCAACAAGGTTTATGTGTACTGAATACCTTCTAGGTAGCATTTAACACTGTTGTATTAATACATTGTACTTTTATTTCGAGAAAGTACTGTAGGTTTAAGGAGGTTGTGTACCCATTATTTCCAAACTATCAAGACATTCTTTTTCTTGGTAATGTTACTTTTTGTAACAAACACACTTTTTACGTGTTCATCATGAGCTACTACTTGCTGTTGTATGGTATGCAATTGTCAATACATAATTAAATGGTTTTGTATCCCCTTTTTTGGTGGGGAATGCAAGTATTTGATAACTATTAGATGGATGGTTGAGAATTATCAGAGCAATGTATGGTAAGCTGTGACTCACAGTCGAAAGTTGTTGAGCCTTATTTACCTGACATGATGAAGGGTGTTGGATGTGTCTGAGTATTGATGTTATGTAATTGTCTATATATAATAAAGTGTTGGATGTGTCTGCAAGTTGTTAAGCCTTGTGTTATGAAATTCTCAATAAATAATAGTTCCTTTTTTTTTATCCTTTTTTTTTTGGAATGCAAGTATTTCATAACTATCTGGTTTTGATTGATAGAAGTAATTATCAGGCAGGTTTTTGGTTGATCGGAGTAATTTTCAGGCATATATGATAAGCTGTGGCTCACTGTTAAAGTTGTTCGGCCTTATTTGCCTGACATGACGAAGGGTGTCAGATGTGTCTGAGAGTGTTGATGTCATGCAATTGTCAACAAATAACACACACACACACACACATATTTGCTTCTGGAATGCAAGTATTTCATAACTATCAGGTGTTTGGTTGATGATTATCAGTGGCATGTATTGTAAGCTGTGGTTCACTGTTAAAAAGTTGTTAAGCCTTATTTACCTGTAACAATGAAGGGCATTGGAAGTGTCTGAGATTGTTGATGTTGGTCAAGGACTTCTAGAAATCTTGATAATGTAGTGCTTCATTGCTTGGTTCTGTTTTAGAAATTAACTCCTGCTGTCATTTGAAGGCTCTGGAGAAAAATAAAGAGGATGCTGCTCATTTTGCTCCCTTTTGGAATGAAATTATAAAGAATCTGAGAGAGGAAGATTACATTACAAATTTGTGAGTACTGTATTGGATTTTTTATTCCCTTTTTAAATCACATGAAGCTTCTATTGCTTGGATCTGTTGACTTGATGTTTCACTTTTTGTAGGGAGATGGAGTTGCTTCAAATGCCTCAAACATCTGGGAATATTCCATTGGTTCAATGGCCGCTATTCCTCCTGGCCAGCAAGGTTGTGCTTATTATGTGAATTGATGCCATTGCCAGATGGATTATTGATATCCACCGATGCTTCTTTACTATTTTGCCTAATTTAATTCCTTCTCCTGTCTGTTATAGGTATTTCTTGCCAAAGATATTGCTATTGAAAGTCGGGATTCTCATGAGGAGTTGTGGGATAGGATCTCAAGGGATGATTACATGAAATATGCAGTTCAAGAGTGCTATTATACCATCGAGGTCATACTTACAGCAATATTGGATGATGAAGGAAATGATGAAGGAAGGAAATGGTAAATTTATGATAAGCCTTCAGAGTGCCTTTAGTGTTTTTGCTTTTAGATTGTTAATGCTTGCTCCATTTGTTTTTCTTGTTTGTCATTGGTGAGAGGTCAACCTGGGTAGCTGGGGTGGGGGAAGGGAATTCATGTTCATGGAATGTCAATTTCGGAGAACATTGAACATGCTCATTGGGGTTGTCTAATCAATTAAGTTTGGTTTGAACAATGGTAACTTGATTGGCCCTTCTCTTTGTTGCATGCATTGCATCTTTTAACATTTTAAACAGATGAATTATATTTCATGTTCGACTGGATTTATCAAATGTATTGTCATCAACTAGTTTCAATATTTTCTTTGTTTTATGTATTGCATCTTTTAATATTATAGAGCACACAAATCATGCTTGCATGATTGATTAATCTATCATATGGATTGTCATGAACTATGCTTTTTAAATAAACTTTCTTGGTTGGTTATATTGAGACTTCCTTTAATAGGTTGTTCCTATCTGCTAGTTTAAAATGTAAGATAAGATAACATATAGGGCAATGATTTTGGAGCTCCACAATAATTTCCAGGCAATCAATCACCCTTTTTATTTAATTAAAATGATTTAAATACCCATCCCATTTAATTTAAAAATCGAAACTATCCAGAGACATGGCAGACAAACTTTGTGAATATTTGCCAAAGAAAACAAAAAATCTAGAGTAAAAAGTTTCAAAACTTAGAAAAGAGCATCAAATAGCTTGAAGTCAACATTTGATGAGAACGTATTAACTGCATAGAAGTTCCTTTCATGGTCTGTTATCATTGATGCAGTCCTCTGCTGTTTGTGTCTTCAATGTCAGGGTTGAAAGGATTTATGAAGATATTCGAGGAAGCATTGCCATCAAAAATATTCACAATGACTTCCAACTGGAAAAGTTGGCACTAGTCATTCAGAAAGTTACTGCTCTAATGGGAGTATTGGTATGTATTTATATGGTTTCAGCATTAATAGAGATGTGCATCACAAGCCAGCTCATAATTTGTTATATATATGCATATGTATATATATATATGTGTATGTATATGCACATGAATATATATATGTGTATATATATGTATATGTATATACATATTTTATTGCTGGATGCAAGAGTAAGTTTTGGTGACTAGTTTCCATATTTGGGCACTTCCTGGAGCTCCTTATATCTCCTTTTTTCTTTACAGTAGGAGTCATGCATTTAACTTTTTCATCAAGCATATTGCTGTTGCACCCTGTGGTTAATCACTTAATCCTGCTTGATATTAAAGAGATGACTGCTGGAGCAGATTGGATTAACAGATACATATATCCCATCATACAATCAATTGGGTTTTTAGAACAAACCTTGTCTCAGTGAAGCAGTATTCAAGCTATGTAGGGATGCAAAATGTTGTACGTCCTTAGTCCTACTTTATGTTTTTTCCTTAAATTTTTGAGATTTGAAAGAACATATTCTTCAGAAATGATAATTATTTTGTGTCAGTCAACTTTTTGAGATTACTGTCTCATGGCAGGTCTTATTTCCGGTTCTGTTGAGGATTAAACAACATATTAGGAATATTGGCCGAAAAATGAGTTATTTTGACTTAAAAAGTCGAGGAAACTGATATTGGATTCATTCTTAAGTGTGACTGTGGTACAGTAGTATTATTAACACCTTTGTCTTTTACAGCAACAATCTTGTGGACACATGGATAATTTTTTGACTGTGAATATAGTTGGAGCTATGAGTGTAGAAGTTTGATCTAAGAGGGGAACTAGTTTAGTTTTGCATTTTTTGGGGACTAATCTGTCACCTTCAACTTGCATTCAGTGTATATGAATTGGCACAGTGTTACTATCTCAAATATTAAGTTCAGATTTCTCCACCATTGTACTGATTGCCCCTCTTGTTGATGGGAAAAGAAGAATTGACAGTGACCTTGGACAAGACCAGTAAACTCCTGTAGTTTGGTTCCTAACTAGTTTTTCAATGCTTGGTGCTACTTTGATGCTTAAGGATATAGTACATTAATTGATGAAATAGCTGGTGAGTGGGTTTGTTGTTGAAAATTGTAATTGTGTGGAAAGAGTTTATCAGCATGCAATGTCAAACTGTAGCTTATGTTTCAGATCTTATCCAGACAGATGGTTGTTTCAATGCTGTTCTGACTTAGCTGTGCAATTAATATTGTAATTACTGGCTGGAAACTAGAATGTGTTTTCTCGTCCGTTCAAGACTCTTGGATATGCTTGGAAACTGGCCCATAACCCTTAACATTTTTTGACTTCAGGACACTAATCTACTAGTGAATTCTGTTTCGTATGGTTGTCCCTCAATTTCGCGTTGCAATCTTTTGGACTTTTTTTGCTTCCTAAAGCTGTGATCATACTATCTTGAATTCTTTTCATGCAGAGAGAGGATCATACACCAGAATTGGAAAGTGGAGCTATCAAAGCTGTCCAAGATCTTTATGATGTTATGCATTATGATGTCCTTAACATTAACATGAGGTTTGCTACCCAGTTAGATTTTTTTTCCTTGACTTTTGGCCCTTTTTCAGTATGCTATAGTTGTTCTATGATTTCCTTATTTTCATTCTCAGAGACAACTATGAGACGTGGAATGTTTTGTCAAGAGCAAGGAATCAGGGTCGCCTCTTTCAAAAATTGAAGTGGCCTCGCGATGTTAAGTTGGTAAGTAGTCAGTACATATAGTTCTGGACTGAGTTTTATGTCTTCACGAACCTCTTAATTCTTGATATCCACAGAGATTGCAAATCCGAAGATTATATTCCCTTCTCACTATCAAAGATTCAGCTGCAAATATTCCAGAAAACCTCGAGGCTAGACGCCGGTTGCAGTTCTTTACAAATTCGCTTTTCATGGAGATGCCAGTAGCCAAGCCTGTCCGTGAAATGTTATCCTTCAGGTATTATAAGGAGCCTTTTGTTAGTGTCCTGGGTTCAAAAGTTGCATCCACTGACTAAACCCCTCATTTCATTTATGAGCAGCGTGTTCACACCTTATTACTCGGAGATTGTGCTTTACAGCATGTCTGACCTCCTTAAGAAGAATGAAGATGGGATTTCCACTTTGTTTTACCTTCAGAAGATATATCCAGGTAATGTTCCATTTGTAGTGTGCTCTATTGTAAAATTCCCTACCATCTCAGATTCAAGACGTTTATTAGGGAAATTTTTAAATATGGTGAATCTCAGTGTATTCATGGCCTCTTTTACAAGGTGTATTGGTATGTTGGATGAGAGGATAGTAGTTGGTGTCATGATGCTGGACAGAAAAGTTACTTTAGCACTTTTAATAATTCTAACTGGAAATTTATAACTTTTAGAATGAATGCGTGCCAGCACTATAGCATCTTGGTCCTAGTCCATCTCTGCTTTGGCTTCTAAGGTGGGAAGCATTATTTAGACCCTAGTTATTATGTTAGAGCATGTATGAAATTTCTGAGGTGGAATGGCTCTTGTATCTGCAGCAAGTAGGTTTATGTTCATCAGCAGAAAGAGTCTGAGTAATTTGCTTAATGCATTGTTGGATTTTTATTTAGCCTTGGTTGGAAAGACGAAAATCTAGGATGTAATTATGCAATAACTGCCACTAGTATACTGACCTTTACTAATGCTTACCAATACTAAATTGTCCCAAAAAAATGCTTGGTCTTAGTTTGTGGATAGTTCTTTGAGCTCATTATGGTCCAAAAGCCCCACATAAGCCAACATATACTAGTGATTTTTTACCAGATGCGAGACATCTCATACCATACCAATTGCATACCTTGCCAGTCAATCATATGAAGAAGAAAGGAAAATCTAGAACTTCAATAATTAACCCCTGAGCTTTTCAGTTCTTCAGTTTTTTCCTCAATTATTTGTATATCTCTTCACTCTGATGGTAATTTAAAATGTAATTTTAGTGATGTTATATCCATTGATTCAAAGTCTTTCCTTAAACGTATATATCCATAAATCCAACAGACCCCAATAGTGTTGCATGAGTATTTGAAGTTATGTCTGTATACCTGTCCATCGGTCGAAAGTTTCCACTCGTCATTTTCTCATATAGTCTGTCAACAAGTAGTTTGCTGCATTTTCCCATCCTATAGTGGTTTGCTCCTCCTGCACTAGGTTTTCGGAATGCCTGTCATTAATTTAACCAATTTTGTGCCAACAAACAAAATAAATTGGATTATGAGTGAATCATTAGATAACTTCGTAATTATTCTTGTTGCAAAAGTATTTGTGGGTATCAGGACTTTTCAAGTTTAAAAACTTTTAGGTTCTGAAGACTTCTAAGCCCATTTTTTATGATGAAACTTGTTTTGCAAATTCTGTTTTTGATTGTAGTTTCCTTAAGAGTCCTTGCTATACTTGTTATGCAGAAATCCTTAAAACATACTCTGGTTTTTTTTCTTTATTGATCTTTAAATGCCATATGGTTTAAATTTGTGTCCAGTTGCTTTGCTTTTTGTGGGTCTTCTAGCCTGCTCTACTTTTTACAAATTTCTAAATTATTGAATGCAGATGAATGGAAAAACTTTCTTGCTCGGATTGGCCGTGATGAAAATGCTTCTGAGTCAGAACTTAATGATAATACAAATGACATCCTTGAACTTCGTTTTTGGGCTTCTTACCGAGGACAAACATTGGCTAGAACTGGTACTTTCTCCCTTCAAATCTAGAATTTTTTATTCTTTCTTATTGGTCTACGACTTTCCTCATGGCTTGTGAACATTTTGGCTAGTTGGTTTGCGATGGAGCATTTTTCTTTCAAAGCACCCATGACCAGTAATTGGGTTGGAAAGAAGATAAAATGGTTGGAGAGATTATAGGATTGAACTTCATGTATGTGAAACAGAAATCAAGTGAATACAAATGAAGCAGAGATTTTATTACCAATTCTAATATCAATATCTCCAATAAGCAGTTATTGTGTTGCAGACAAAGAAGCAAGTAAATTGAAAAGAGTAAAATTAAAATTCAAAAGGTGAAAGCGAGCTCATTTGAGCTTAACGTTTTTATGAAGGAGAAAATTTGAAAGAAAGAGGCACTAGAAAGATGGGGGCTTGGTGTCCCCAATGCCTTATTATTATTTTTTTGGGGGGGGGGGGGTGGGGTGCAAAGAAACTGGAAATACTTAATCCAGTATACTACTGAAAGATTTTAAGAGTAAGAGGGAGGACTGGGAAAGGTTCAGACTGGGTGTTTTAGGAGTTCAGGAATAAAATGATCTCTAATTGAAGAGATTTTAGAAGGAAAACAGAGGCATTATGGAATTAGATTGATAAGATTAACATCCAGTGTATAGCCTCATGGAGAACGAAGAAGCTATCCAATTCACTGTTGTTTTGAACATCCTTATTGTTACTTGCACATATATGTTTCAGATGTTCTTGCTTTCTGCATGAAATTTCTATAAATGTATGTGGACAGTTGTTTTTATTTGAAGGTCATAATTGTCTTCCAGAACATGGTCCTGGGTATGCTCTCATAACTTCTTGGATAAGGAATGCTTATTTCTCTTCTATTTGTTGACGTCCTTGTTTGATGTTTGCTCATTGTCCAATTGCAGTACGGGGGATGATGTACTACAGAAAGGCTCTCATGCTTCAAGCCTATTTGGAAAGAATGATGGCTGGAGGTTGGCCAATCTAAGAACACTAGATTTGTTGTTTTTGGCTGCTTGGATAGATCTTTATTGTCTGTTAGTTGTGCTCAGATTTGGAATCTGCAATCTCCAAATATGAAGTTATGGATATTCAAGGCTTTGAGTTGTCTCCCGAAGCAAGAGCTCAGGCAGATTTGAAGTTCACATATGTAGTTACATGTCAAATATACGGAAAGCAGAAAGAAGAGCGAAAGCCTGAGGCTGCTGATATTGCATTATTAATGCAAAGGTAGAGTATTGTGTGTATAGCATGTGATGCATCTACTACTGATTGCATGCTGTAACTTTTTCTCTATGATTTGGTACATCATTGTCTTGGCCTTTTGGTCCTCAAAAGAGCCACTTGGATATTCTTGCAACTTCCTCCTTTGGCTCTTTCCTTCCACCCAAAAACATGAATAATATCTGTATCTACATAATGCATTATATCGCATATGCTAGTTCTTAGTTTGTTCGCTTATCAGTTTGTTCTTCTTTTGCATACCTTTGATATAGAAATGAAGCTCTTCGAGTTGCCTTCATTGATGTGGTCGAGACCCTGAAGGATGGTAAAGTGCATACCGAATATTACTCAAAACTTGTAAAGGCTGATATCAACGGGAAGGATCAGGTTTTCAACTGTTTCTCTTTCTTTTTCTTTTTTTTTTTTTTTAAATTTCTGGGCATTTACAAGTGAAAAATTGTTCCTCTTTTTTTCTTTGTATTTTATTGATTTTTAGCTTATTTTTCTGTTTGAACTAAAAAGGTTTAGATGAAATTATTTGGTTGGAAACTGAATAGTGGAGAAAAGCACTGGGTTATTTTGATTGCTGATAAGAAACTCCAAAAACTGTTATGAGTGTTAGAATTTATTTTCATTGGAGAACTGTTAACAGTATCGTTGTTGGTTCTTTTTGTCAGCAACTTGGATATGGTGGCTTTGACATATGGTTTATTCTTGTACTTTAAAAAGTTAGAAACATGATTTGAATGTACGTTTAATTTCATTAATCAATGTATCATCATATTAAGACATCTACTCCATGGGTGAATATTTTACCATCCAATCTGTATGTAATATTTGGATGATGCAGGTGGTGAAAATTGTGAAGAGATTAAAGTGCTGAATCAGATTGAGTAATAGTGGTGTTAACAATTTTAAGGTTTACAGTTGCAACCATGAAGTGAATTATATTTTTTTGGTCAAATGTCAAATTTCTGATATTAATTGGTAACTGCAAGAGCCTTCATTTACCCCTAGATGTAGAGGATCCTAATACAGGAGGTGATGACTATGGTATATTAATTATGTCTATGCGTATGTATTGGTATTACTCTAAGTTGCTGTGTTTTCTTAGTCAGCTTCTCATTTACATGACTTGTTTCTGCAGTCTCTCTGGAAACCAGTGATTCTTATCTTGTGCTCTTTAGCTGCACTATGATAGTATGATCAGCTAAAATGCTTATAACAAAATTCTGTAATGTAAATTTTTAAATTCTAAGGTGGGGTTTCCTTCTAATGAAAATGCAGGAAATCTATTCTGTAAAATTGCCAGGGAATCCAAAACTTGGTGAAGGGAAGCCTGAAAATCAAAATCATGCAGTTATATTCACACGTGGAAATGCAATGCAGACGATTGACATGAATCAGGTAAGAGGTATCTGTTTCAACAGCTGCTGATAATATCTCACCAGGCCCTTCAAATTAACCTCTGTTTCAGAAGCATAAGTTGCAGATATAACTGCAGATGATTTTGCCACGTGATGTTAGTATGTCTGGATATCCTTGGAAAATCTTAACAATGCAGAGTCATGCATAAATTTGTAGTGCAAAATGAAAATATGCACAGACTCTTATTTGGGTTTGAGGATTAATTGTTCCTACCTCTGCGTCCATGTGGTTGTGTAACAGAGCAATATTGTTTTGAAATCAGGAGAAGAAATTAAATAAGCTCCAGTTTGACTTTGGATGATACTCCTCTCCTGCATGCATTTCTCTCTGCTGACTTCGCCCCTTTCTTCCTTGTGCTCAATCTCCTCATTCTCCCGCTCCACCGTCTTCCTCTTGGGATCGCTCTGAGCATACAGCTAAACCATTTCTCCTCCCTCTTGACCTAGCTCTGTCCTTCCTTCTGCCCTGTCTTCTACTCACCCTCATATCCACCCTTCTCAAAATATTAATTACCGGGGTGTTCATCAATATTGGTTTTGACCATGAGCACATGCACTGTTGGATGGAGGTGAATTAGGATCAGTACAAGCTGGCTGTATGTTTGTTCCGTGCCTGAAGAAGTGGGCACTAAGTTTTTTGCGTGTCTCTGTACCTTTGTTGTGTCAGCAGATTATGAGATATATGCCTGATTAGGGAGGTAAGCATAATGAGCGAAACTGTAGGAGAGGAGCCTGTAAATTTGACAAAACTTAGGTGCCCAAATTGCCCTTAATTTAGGGTAATTCGTGGTTCAGGGCAATTCATAATGTGGATGGAAAGCAGCAGCCAACATGCTTATTGCTTTGTTTTCTCCCATTCATGTCATTGCCTTTTATCTTCTTTTGCTTGGTCGTTTCTTAATGTTGCCTTGTTTTTCGAGAGCTCATTTATTTTTTTTAATAGGATAATTATTTCGAGGAAGCTTTGAAAATGAGAAATCTTTTAGAAGAATTCCATCGTGATCATGGGATTCATGCTCCTACTATTCTTGGTGTTAGGGAGCATGTATTTACGGGAAGGTATTTCTCAATTCAATATTTATATGGTGGTGTCTCCTATGTTGCTAACAATCAGTTACTAATTCTTCAGCAAATGATGCAGTGTCTCTTCTTTGGCGTCATTCATGTCCAACCAAGAAACTAGCTTTGTGACACTTGGTCAGCGTGTTCTGGCCAAGCCCTTGAAGTAAGATCCTGTTTGTTATAAAATTTGCTATTGTTCGTGTGTATGATTTCCTGCTTTTTCTTATATCTGATCCTCTTTATTGAAATTTCAATTTGTCTTATAGGGTTCGAATGCACTATGGCCATCCAGATGTCTTTGATAGAGTTTTCCATATAACTCGAGGTGGTATCAGCAAGGCGTCTCGTGTAATTAACATCAGTGAAGACATATATGCGGGTACAACTAACTATGCTAGGCAAATTGCCATTATATAGTTTTTTTTTTTAATGTTTCCCTATACTGCAGATGACTACTTTTGAATGGAATTACAATGTCAAACTTGCATTCCCACTCTTTTATCTTCCATCCAATTCTATTACAAACATTTGCTATATTTTGTGTAGGAGTATGATTTAGTTTAGAATGTTCAACCGCCGTATCAGCTGTCAATTCAAGAAAGATTTGACGATGCAAGATGCCTAGCATCTTTTTCTAAGTGCTAGCTTCCATGGCTTAAGGAGTTGGAGACTTAAGAAATATTAGATTAGCTAGTTAATGGAAACTTTCCGGATGATGTTTATATTTAATTTTCGACCTATGAGTGTTTAGTAATTCCAAATTCTGCATAATTGAGCATGTAACAAAAATATTCTTTTATGATTTCTAGTCCATATTTGTATTATACCTGTGAATTTCAGCGGGATCCTTCGAGCATATCAAAATTTTGCATTCCATTTACTGATTTTTTTCCTTTTTGCATATGCGTTGAAGTTTAGTATTGTATAAAGATGGTTGATTTATTGCTTCTTGGTGTCTGAACAGTCTTGGTTATTTCTTTCACGCTTTTGAGAGATATCTGTTATACATGCATTTCAAATGCATTTGTTCTTTCAACTGTGTCAAGCATCTTGCTTTGCTTACACTGATACCAGATTGCATTTGTCTCCCTTTGGACATGGCTTAGAAGGCATCCTGAATTCTTCTTGACAAACTAGTTGCATGTTTTTTCTTCATCTTGCTTATTGAATGTGAAGATCTCAAGCACTTCGATTACAGCCAATCTTACACCGATACCAGGTTGCATTTGTCTCCCTTGGACATGGCTCAGAAGGCACCGCTGAATTCTTCTTGACAAAATGGTTGCTTGTTTTTTCTTCATGTTGCTTATTGCATGTTGAAGAACTCGAGCACTTCGATTACAGACAATTTCTGCAGTTGTTTTTGTCTATTTATGTTTATGGTTATGGACTTGATTCTGAATTTTCTGCTCCAAGCTGACAGGAGCTATTCATTATTTCCTTTGGTTACCCCCATAAGTGGGATGGGATATGTTGATTCACTCGTTTGCGTATTTATATATACTGGTCTGATCTCAACAAACTACTATACCAATTTGATGAGTGAGGGTCTAGATATATGTAATCATTGTGAGTACTTCATATTTCAGCATTACAAAAATATGGTGTTAACGTTTTTCTGTGTTAGTATATGCCACATTGCCTGATTGCATTAACTCATCATGTTTCTGTGTTGTCTGTCTTTTGCTCTATGATTTGTGAGCCTATTTAAGATTTGACTATCTAGTTGTATGTTAGGGCATAAGAATGTCTTCTATAACACGAGCAGAACAAGACAAAAAATTCCCTTTTTGTCCTTTTTTTTTAATTTGTTGTAATATGCAGGATTCAATTCAACCTTGCGTCAAGGAAATATTACCCACCATGAGTACATTCAGGTGATATTGTGTCTTTTTAAAATTTTTTTAAAGATGAAAAGTAGTAGAGTGATGAATAAATCTAAACTGAGATTTATATAGGTTGGCAAAGGAAGAGATGTTGGGCTCAATCAGATTGCTTTATTTGAAGGCAAGGTAGCTGGTGGTAATGGTGAACAAGTTCTTAGCAGGGATGTCTACAGACTTGGGCAGCTCTTTGATTTCTTCAGAATGATATCGTTCTTTTTCACCACTGTGGGCTATTACTTTTGTACCATGGTAAGCCCATTGCGTTGTTGCACCTCAGCCTAGTTTTTGAGCTCATTGGTTCAAGTTTTAATTGGTACCTGAGCCAATCACCAAAGTGGTGCTTAATCTTTAGGCCAATTTGGGGTTTGGGAGGGAACAAGAATGGTGCTTTTAACCTTTAACTTTGCAAGTTACTTTTAATGGAGTTTGGAATCCAGATATGAAGTGTATGAAATATATAAATATACGGTTTTGTTTCCTATCTGCTTAACTGGAACATCAACGACGAAAAGCAGCAAAATGGGTCTCTTTGTCCATTATGACTCTTTTAATTCAGCAGTGCGCTTTTTTGTGTAGCGGCTACACAACAATACCCTCTAAGCCTGCGAAAGTATAAGCAAAATTACAGGTGTATAGTACACTCTTAATTGGGGTTGTAACACTGTCAGTCATGTATCTTGTTAGTTCTTGCTTGCATGCTTCATCTTTTTTTTTGTTGAATAGTTGCCCATAGGATACTCAGAAGTACTGGTTACAGAAAAAATTACTCATTGTGCAAAATAATTTTATTAGTGCTGTAAATCCTATTATGGAGTACCAATTTGTTATATTAATCCCTTTTTATGGGCCAGGCAATTGGTTACATAATGACCTTCACATCTTTGTAGCAATATGGGTTATATTGTCTACCACTTTTAGGTTTGTCGTGCAAAAGATGTCAAACTTATGACATTTAAAACCTTGTAGCTATCCAAAGTGAACGCTAAAATTTGGTTGTCTTGAAAATTGGCGATTATGTCCTTGTTTATAGTAGAGGCTTCTAGGAAGTATGCTAATGACTTGGGCTTGTGCTTAAGAATGATGTTTGGCACTGCATGAGTATATGTGATTTGGGCTTCCTTTAGTGGACTGCTTCAGTTTGTTTGTTTATTTAAAACATGGCAATGGAGGAGTGACAGCAATTAATTGTATTTTTGTCCCAAACTTGCACGTCTGAGAATCTGATGTCTAAAACCGAAAGTAAAAATTGAATTGTTAAATAGATGTGAAAAAGGTTTCTGTGCCTTTTACTTTTCCAAATGGCTCATTTGAAGCAACAAGATATTTCCAGCTTCTGCTTGACTCAATTCATTTACCTGTCATGTTGATCCTTTCCAAGCTTCGCAACCTCTATTCACTCCCCTCTGGTCCATCTTCACTTTGATTTCTACATCTGTTCCCAACTAAAACGCACCTAAGAGCAATGAAATTTGCTTTCTTTTTAGGAGTCTGCTCTAAGCTGGAATGTAATGTTTACATTATTAGCCAAATTATGATTCGCACTACATCTTATCTAACTGATCTGTAATTCTGTGCAGCTGACAGTGTTGACTGTGTACATTTTTCTGTATGGGAGAGCATACTTGGTAAGCCCTATGAGATGATGAATTAAGTTTGCATATTGCTTAATGGATATCAAGCAATGAACTGTGGACAGTCCTTTTTATGTATATTTGGTATGCTGGAATTTTACTGTATGTATATATGCATGTTGTTACATAGAAAATAATTTGCATGGATGTTTTAGCTTCAGGGAGTCCTTGATCAGGGAAGTTGACGTTGCTTTTCACACAAATTTTCAGGAGAAGTTCTTAAAAGTTTCCTCTTTCCTATCAACTTAATTGTTTTTTATGGTCTTTATGGTACTGTTGACTTTTTTCTTTCAGGCTATTGTTTTTTATGGTCTTTATGGTACTGTTTGAATTTTTTTTTCAGGCTCTTTCCGGCGTTGGTGAAACCATTCAAATTAGAGCCAGGATATTAAACAACACAGCTTTGAGTGCTGCCCTCAATGCTCAGTTTTTGTTTCAGATTGGTGTTTTTACTGCTGTGCCAATGGTTTTGGGCTTCATCTTGGAACAGGGTTTCTTAAGGGTATGCTACTGAAGTTTGTCAATCACACCTAATACCCAAAACTCTTCCTCCAAAAATGTGATTCTTTGCAGGATGGTGAATGCACTCTGGTAACCTGATAGGCACTTTTAGGAATATGAAATACAAAATTAGGTCTTCTATTGGATCTCCTGTGGAGACAGGAAGAGAAGTACAATAAAGTTTTTATTTGATGTCGTGGTGCAGATGGCATCAGCACTCTTCTACGGATAGTCGTACTCTTGCATTAGCCCTGTTCTATCTTTTCAGTACTCCTTTTTTCTTTCCATGGGCTGTGCTTGGTTTCTGTTCATATCAAATGGGTGGAGAGTTGGAAGATGGTTCCCTTTTTCCTTTCTTATAATGCTCTTCCCTCACTTGGATGGTATATCATTTTCCTTAGTTCTTGTGATGCTTGAATGACTAGCCTTGCTCTGCCTTGGTGCTGGCATGCTTCATTTATCTGTTTATATAGATCGTTTGTTGCTTGAATACCTCAATTTTATCCCAGCTATGTTTCTGGTATTGTATTTACAACCTCGAATATTACAATTTTCTTTTGTTCTCATCATCACAGGCCCTTGTGAGTTTTGTCACTATGCAATTTCAGCTTTGTACAGTCTTTTTCACATTTTCATTGGGCACAAGAACCCACTACTTTGGCCGCACTATTCTCCATGGTGGTGCTAGAGTATGTTCTACTAAGAATATTCTCTGCTTGTTTGTTGTCTCTGGTTATATTTCCTTTGAAGTCATCTATACTTCTGAACAGTATCAAGCAACTGGGAGAGGATTCGTTGTTCGGCACATCAAATTCTCAGAAAATTACAGGCTATACTCCCGTAGTCATTTTGTCAAAGGGTCTCTCTCTCTTTCTCCCCCTCTTCCATACATAAATTGATGTCTGCTTGTGTTTATGCGTTCATTTAGTAACCTAAGTGGTGGTTTTTGTATTTTTTTCCTTCTCAGAATGGAGGTGGTGCTTTTGTTGGTGTATATATCTTGCATATGGATATAATGAAGGAGGTGCAATAGGATATATTCTTCTTACTGTTAGCAGCTGGTTTTTGGCTATTTCTTGGCTTTTTGCTCCATATTTATTCAATCCATCAGGATTCGAGTGGCAGAAGTAAGTATTTGCTCACTTTGCTTCACAAATGGGTTTAATTCCTCTTATATTAAGCCACTGCTTTTTTATATGGTTTGCAGAACAGTAGAAGACTTTCGAGATTGGACAAACTGGCTTCTTTACAGAGGTGGAATTGGGGTTAAAGGGGAAGAGAGTTGGGAGGCTTGGTGGGATGAGGAGCTGGTAAGATATCTGACTTGGGACCCTTGTGGTGAATATTCTTTATATGTTGGCCATTTATGGACTTAATATGGTTGGTCATTGAAGACAATATATATTGGGAGTTATGCTATGTCAAACATTAACTTTTTTATCTTGTCTGGTATTGTTCCTTGTGGTACCTTACCAATTGTAATATATTCCTTTTGAGGAAGGAAATGAAGTCAGGCTAATTCTCATATTTCACGCATCTCTGGAAAGCATTTTTTGTGCTTATCAAACTTGCTTTTTGTCAAAAATGGATGTTAGATGTTTTTTGCATATTGTTCAATGCATTATTATTGTTACCTTGTTAGCTAGTAAACTTACTGGAGCACTAATAAATTAGGTTTTTGGTCTGTTGATAAACTAAACCATTCAATAGTTTTAAACCTATATAAAGCTGCTGTGTGCTACAGATTTAGCAGTAGAATTGTAAAAAGTACATGAAAATCACATTTGTGATGCAAATTTAGAATATAGTCAAATCTTATTCAGAATCTGGAGTACTCCTTGCCAAAGAATAAACTAGAATGATAGAGTAATTAATTAAGCTACATCTGGTAACATGATCAGATTACTTTCTTTTTCCAGTTCTTAGCATCTGATTTCTACCATTTCATTATAGTTACACTTCTACTTTCTTTTGAAGACCCTAGAAAGTGAAATAAGAAGAAATAAATAAAATTTCCTGAACTCATGTTTCCAAAACAAATGCTTGGTGCCTGTGAGCATAATGTACAAGGAGGAGAACTCCAATGTGATGGTAAAGGATAGAAGTTTTCGTCATGTTAGGAAAACTTCCCCATGTGTTGGGAGGTGCAAAAAAAAGGAAAGTAGATATTTGAATGCTTTTACCTTGGCTGTTCTGTTTCAATGCTCTTGTTCTGGTGGATGTAGACTTGAGAGCTTTGGTAGATACAACTTTCTTCCTCTTCTGTGTCGTTCAATTCTCTGGATGATCTCTTTTCTGCACATTTACATTTTCTAACTCCATGTAACAAAATCTTTTGTTTCATCATAAATTTTGCCTGTGTTCTCATTCTCCTCTGACCTTGTGTCTAACACTTATTTTGTCCTTGCAGGCTCATATCCGAACCTTAAGGGGAGGCTACTGGAGTCAATTCTTAGTTTGCGCTTCTTCATGTTCCAATTTGGCATTGTTTACAAGTTGCACATACAAGGATCAAATACATCATTGACGGTAACATTCTTCAATTGGTATTGGATTGCGTCAAGATATTCACTTGTTGATTCTCTTTTTCAACTAAGGTTTTCACTCTTTAACAAATTGGATCTTGATGCGCTCAGAAATAGTTTACACAAATAAAAGATTGGCAGGATGCATATCTTTGTAGGGGACACACATTTATTGGATATATATATATATATATATATATTACTTAAGGAAACAATGTCAGATATGTGTTTTGGCATACGAGTGGTGTAGGCCCTGTTTGGGGTTTGTGGTGTTTTTGCTAAAAAGGTACTTTTGGAAGATGAAAGCACTTTGTTTTTGTTTGGTGGGCATCATTCCTAGAATTTAGGAATAGAGCTTTTGGCCATTAAAGCACTTTTGGCGGTTAGCTCAAAGTTGGTGCTTTTATACTAACTTTTATGTTTCAAAAAATTAAAAAAATTTTGACTTTAAAAATTTTATTATAAACTTTGAACTCGATAAAGAGATAAATATGCTTTAGAATTTCAAAATTATATAGTATCAAATAGAAAATTACTTATGCAAGTAAGCATCCAAATATGATTAAGCACTTATTAAGTACTTTGGCCAAAAGCTTTATCAATAGAAGTGCTTCTTGTAAGCCACCACGGGCCCTTAAGCGGTGGCTAGCAGATACTGGGTTGTGTAAATTAAGTCATGTAGAACTGTGGATGGTGGTTGTATCTCGTGCATTGGGAAAAGTCCACTAAAATTTTGGTTGAGCTTTTCTTCATCTGTATTGGATTATAGTACATCATAAAGTATTAAAACCTGTATGGAATTTACTTTTGTTGTAACTCTTGGTACATGACAGTTTATTTATTTATTTAGAGGGCTGCTGTCGTTGTTGGGAACTGACGAGAGAAGGTTTTTTTTTTTTGTTTTCTTTTTTGTATCTTAGCTTTAAATCTAAGCAGTAATAAAGTGGAAAAAGAGATCTATTTGTGATTTTTCCCTAATTAACTTTTTGTAAACCATATTTCTATGTTTTTGATACATTTTGTCAAAATTGAGGGGTGCATTTGTTGTTTGGCAAAAGCATGGTGGGCAATATAGCTAATCCCCCTATTTGCGAAACATTTATCAACTTTTTTAAGAAAAATGTTAAACATGGAAACAGGGGCTAATGGAACTGTAAAGGTTTTAGTGCAACAGATTCTGACCCTAAGAATTACCAGCCAAATGGCGCTAAATAAAGAGTGTGTGTGTTTACTGCCCCTACAGTTTGGTGAGTGTAGTTCAGAACCAACTAGTCGATGCAAAAGATCTTCGGACATTTTTATGAGGAAAATACACATGCGAATTATTTGCAAAAAAAAAATAAAATTTGCTCACTGGTTGGTTTAGGGGAAGAATTGTTGATGTTTTTATGATGTTCATGAATTCTAACAATTGTGGTCCAGGCAAGATGCATGGTGGTTGTGTTTTTACTGTTTGGGAAACTAATACTTTAGTAAAGGCAATTTGGACTTCTAAGAGAATAAGTTCCATTTACATAGCTTTTGTGACTTACTTTCTTGGTGTTGTTTTTGATAGAAAATAGTCCTTTGCACTCTACCCTATATTAATTCACTTCCAGTTTCACCTCATGAATTTGTGACTTTTTGTAGGTATATGGGTTTTCGTGGGCTGTGTTTGCATTGCTGATAATTCTTTTCAAGGTCTGCTACTGAACCTGAATGGCTAATTATTGAACCTCTTAAATATATTCTTAGTTTCTGCTGTTCACGGGGTTGTGCAGGTATTCACCTTCAGTCAGAAGATATCAGTTAATTTCCAGCTGGTGCTGCGCTTTATCCAGGGTGTCTCCTTTTTACTTGCATTGGCTGGTTTAGCTGCTGCAGTTGTGTTTACCAAACTGTCTGTTTCGGATATATTTGCTTGCATTTTAGCTTTTCTGCCCACTGGCTGGGGAATTCTTTGTGTAAGTCCTATATTACATATGGGTCCTTCATATTTCATTTCTTACTCAATTATCTAGCTCAATTCTTTTCTGCCTATTGCTGCATTCCATTAAAAAATCATTGGATGGTAAAAGCATCCTCATCATTGGCAGTTTAAGTTGAATAGTGGATAGAGACGGACCTCTATTAAGTTGATTCCCAGAAATACAAGATGAATAGAAGAAACTTAGCCTACTTATCGGAAGGAGCAACATGATATGTGGTAGTAGAAAAATTTTATTGGAGGGTATAAATTTCCTTCTCTGATATACTTTCTTAATTTAAGATGTTGGGAATTTCATGCCTCAGTTTCTACAGCCTTCAACTGTTCACCTTGGCAGACATTATTTATGATCCCCTTAGCATTTCAGTCTTGTTAGCACATCTATACACCATTCACAATAAACAAACTAGATGTTACCTTTATGACGTACTGTACACGGAATGTGATTTTGAATTCCCAAGTCATTAGCTTGATGCAAATCTCAAATTCAGAGTATGAACAGTTAAAGAGTCATTTCCGCTAGAGGGGATTTGTTATGGTCTCATGTAGAGTAGAAGTGGAAAAAAATAATAGTGCCTCTTTGTCTCTATTCCCTTGAATTTGGATGGCACTTTTAGGTTCTATTCGATTATATATCATATATCTCTTTGGGGGCTATCTGATTGTCTATTTGGATGGTAAACACATCCTTGTCATCAGTAATGTGAAGATGGTCCAGACAGCAATTGAATAGAAGCTAGACATCAGTACTTACAGATCGGCGATATCATCTTTGGAAATCGATAAATTTGTTGCCTACATCTATTCAGTATTAAGACTATCAGCTGACTCCAATGGGATATGCGATAGAAAATGAACCTTAGTATTGGTGAAAGTGGAGATGTCTGTTTATGTTGGTTGTTTTTGAGGTTGTGCTGGAACTTTTGGGAACTTTTTTTCTCCAAGAACTTCAGCAACGGGAACCTCATCTAAAATTCTTCTCTGTGTTAATCAGAATTATGTCTTTGATGTTCTAACTTATTCTGCTGCTTTACCAGATTGCTGTAGCATGGAAGCCTGTGGTGAAGAAGATGGGACTGTGGAAGTCTGTTCGTTCAATTGGCCGTTTATATGATGCTGGGATGGGGATGCTGATTTTCATTCCTATCGCCCTATTTTCATGGTTCCCGTTCATTTCAACATTTCAAACCCGACTTATGTTCAACCAAGCCTTCAGTCGAGGGTTGGAAATCTCTCTTATCCTTGCTGGAAACAATCCAAACTCAGGCCTGTGATGGTGTTCTCGTGCTGTCTGACATTGGAGCATAGTCATGTACATCGAAGACGACTGCTGTGGGCATTTTCTATTCCCCAAAATTCTGTAGGTACTTTTTTGTTTTTTTCTGGCTTTTAGCAGGAGCTTTCCTATTTAGTGAAATCCATTGTAAATTTATGCAGTGAACTTTTGCCAAATGAGATCCAATTCAGCTGCATTTTCTGTATGGTAGCCGTCTAAATCATTACGTCTTACTTTTCTTCGGCTACCTCAGGCATCTAATTGCTCCCATTACTATGTAACTGACTGCGCAGGTCTACCGACTCTTCAAATCTAACCATTGCAACTTCACTTCTCGAATTCTTTCTGCAAACGAGCCTTGTAGATTTAAAACTATCACAGGCTCTCTGAACCGTTGCTAGCATATAAACAAAACTAAAAGCTCAAACATGCGATTTTATTGTAAGCCGGAAAAGGTTGGTTGCATTTCTATTCACTCTTGTTCGCTATCATTCAACTGTGGTGGCATTAGAAAACAAACGGTCGAATGCCGAAGTACTCGTATGTAGATGACAGGGTACCCCTGAGTTCAACCGTCGAGAAAATTGAGCAAGTAGTTGTTCTACGTTACCCAATAACAGTGGAAGAAATCTCAAATTTGAATTGGCTAAGTTATTGAATTGTTAAATATCAATATGATATGCTAAATAATCTATTACATATTTTTTTCAAGTAAGTTTTGTTTAGAAAATTTAATGCTACTTAATTAATTAAAAAAATAAGATGTTCTATTTTTTCTTATCAAATACAAATGATAAGTGAATGACTTTATTTTGTTTATTAATATGTTAAGATTTGAATTAATTATTTTTAAATATTAAATTAGATTATCAATATATTTTTTAATACGTTAAAATCTGAATCAATTAATTTTAAGTATTAAATTAGATTATCAAATATACTTTTAAATATGTTAAGATCTGCAATTAAATTTAAGTATTGAATTAAATTATTAAATACAGTGTAAAATTTGCCTAACCGTGACATGGGTACATAGTTTATCAATGCTGTACCTTATACGGTACGATAATGCTTCTTTCCTTTTTGCGAAGTTGTAAAGTATTGATGTGCCCTGTGCGTGTGGCCATGCACATTTTTTAACTTCTTGGGTGTCTTTAATTGGTAAAATTTATTCCTTTTTACTCCAAAAGATTATTCCTTTTGCATAGTTTAATAGAATAAAGCTTTAGTTGTTTCTGCAAACTTTTCTGAATATGAATTGGACTAAATCAACGTGATAGCTTCGTAAATAGTTGGAAGTGAGAGCTTAGAGGAAACTTCAGAAACTTGAATCTCGCTTTAACTAATTTGAATGATTGGTTGGACAAGATTATTATTTATTTAACCAATGAATTTTATATCTAGCCATACAAACATAGGATGATGGAAGTGCACTACATAGTTTCTTCTTACTTTATAAGATCTCTCCGCTAATTTCGCAATTGATAAATAACGGTGTGTTTCATCGTCCTCTCTTCATTTTATAGATCAATAGCTTAGTAGAGAAATTAAAAATAAAATTGAAACCATGGACCATAATGCTAAAAAAAAAAAAGATTCCTCTCATCCATACAATTTTTAAATCCAAATCTTTTTAAACAACTTAGGGCTTTTGTATGAGAATTTGATATCCAAAATTAACGAAAACCCTTTATCAAATGCACCATTGATTTGTCTTTGATATATGAAGTTTTTGAAATAAACTTCTAAAAACAAATACTACTACTAAATATTTGCATATATACATTTTGCAAGTGTTGATGACCTAAAAGACTTAACAATTATCACACAATTTTAAAGAGTGAAAAATCTACTTCTAGCAGTATTATCCATCTATCACTTTTTCTTAGTTGCTTCGTTTTCTTTCTTTCTTTACTGCTTTATTATTTACCTTTGGAAAGTGTTCAGAATAGGGTTAATTATTAAAGCTCCCCCTAAGGTTTAATCAGCTTTGCACTTTACCCCTTAACGTTATTTTTTTCTCACATTACCCTTTAAACTGTTAGTCAACTTTAACATTGCATAACATAAATATCAAATAAACATTGATACACCTAAGGGTTAATTATAGTAAATCCCATTAAGGTATAACCATTTTGCATTTTACCCTCTAATATCATTTTTCTTTTAATTTGTTTATTTGTCCCAAAAACCATTAGTAACAAACAAATAAATTGATAAAAAAAGATATTAGGGGATAAAATGCAAAAAATCTATACTTTTAAGGGAATTTACTATAGGTAACTCTTAGGGGTATAAATATCTTTTTGACACCATTATTACACAATATTAAAGTTGACTAACAGTTTAGAGGATAAAGTGAAAAAGAAATAACGTCAGGGGCCGAACTGTAAAAGTGGCTATTCGTTAGGCGGAGCTTTTGTGATTAACCCTTAAGAATACATCCAAAAAAAAGAACCAAAAGAATGGCCCTTACGTAAATACTAGGAATTCGGAGGGCGTTTCCGATTCCCGAACCTAATCCGATACCTTTTCCGAATGCCACCCGGAACTTTGCTTGGAGACCACGCGTCCTTTTAATCTTAACCGTTCATTCCGAATCCTTACATCTTAACCGTCCAATCAACCTTTTCACCGCACATAAGTAACCCCTCTCCCCCTCAAATCGCCACCACAAAAGCGCCTATCGACGAAGAAATCGAAACTTTTTAGAGATACAAACTAAGCAAATCTAAAAACCCAGAGAAAATTCCAGAGAGAGAAACGAGGAAATTTCAAAAATTAAAGTAAAATATTTTGGGAATGTTAATCAGAATTATGTCTTTGATGTTCTAACTTATTCTGCTGCTTTACCAGATTGCTGTAGCATGGAAGCCTGTGGTGAAGAAGATGGGACTGTGGAAGTCTGTTCGTTCAATTGGCCGTTTATATGATGCTGGGATGGGGATGCTGATTTTCATTCCTATCGCCCTATTTTCATGGTTCCCGTTCATTTCAACATTTCAAACCCGACTTATGTTCAACCAAGCCTTCAGTCGAGGGTTGGAAATCTCTCTTATCCTTGCTGGAAACAATCCAAACTCAGGCCTGTGATGGTGTTCTCGTGCTGTCTGACATTGGAGCATAGTCATGTACATCGAAGACGACTGCTGTGGGCATTTTCTATTCCCCAAAATTCTGTAGGTACTTTTTTGTTTTTTTCTGGCTTTTAGCAGGAGCTTTCCTATTTAGTGAAATCCATTGTAAATTTATGCAGTGAACTTTTGCCAAATGAGATCCAATTCAGCTGCATTTTCTGTATGGTAGCCGTCTAAATCATTACGTCTTACTTTTCTTCGGCTACCTCAGGCATCTAATTGCTCCCATTACTATGTAACTGACTGCGCAGGTCTACCGACTCTTCAAATCTAACCATTGCAACTTCACTTCTCGAATTCTTTCTGCAAACGAGCCTTGTAGATTTAAAACTATCACAGGCTCTCTGAACCGTTGCTAGCATATAAACAAAACTAAAAGCTCAAACATGCGATTTTATTGTAAGCCGGAAAAGGTTGGTTGCATTTTCTATTCACTCTTGTTCGCTATCATTCAACTGTGGTGGCATTAGAAAACAAACGGTCGAATGCCGAAGTACTCGTATGTAGATGACAGGGTACCCCTGAGTTCAACCGTCGAGAAAATTGAGCAAGTAGTTGTTCTACGTTACCCAATAACAGTGGAAGAAATCTCAAATTTGAATTGGCTAAGTTATTGAATTGTTAAATATCAATATGATATGCTAAATAATCTATTACATATTTTTTTCAAGTAAGTTTTGTTTAGAAAATTTAATGCTACTTAATTAATTAAAAAAATAAGATGTTCTATTTTTTCTTATCAAATACAAATGATAAGTGAATGACTTATTATTTGTTTATTAATATGTTAAGATTTGAATTAATTATTTTTAAATATTAAATTAGATTATCAATATATTTTTTAATACGTTAAAATCTGAATCAATTAATTTTAAGTATTAAATTAGATTATCAAATATACTTTTAAATATGTTAAGATCTGAATCAATTAAATTTAAGTATTGAATTAAATTATTAAATACAGTGTAAAATTTGCCTAACCGTGACATGGGTACATAGTTTATCAATGCTGTACCTTATACGGTACGATAATGCCTTCTTTCCTTTTTGCGAAGTTGTAAGTATTGATGTGCCCTGTGCGTGTGGCCATGCACATTTTTTAACTTCTTGGGTGTCTTTAATTGGTAAAATTTATTCCTTTTTACTCCAAAAGATTATTCCTTTTGCATAGTTTAATAGAATAAAGCTTTAGTTGTTTCTGCAAACTTTTCTGAATATGAATTGGACTAAATCAACGTGATAGCTTCGTAAATAGTTGGAAGTGAGAGCTTAGAGGAAACTTCAGAAACTTGAATCTCGCTTTAACTAATTTGAATGATTGGTTGGACAAGATTATTATTTATTTAACCAATGAATTTTATATCTAGCCATACAAACATAGGATGATGGAAGTGCACTACATAGTTTCTTCTTACTTTATAAGATCTCTCCGCTAATTTCGCAATTGATAAATAACGGTGTGTTTCATCGTCCTCTCTTCATTTTATAGATCAATAGCTTAGTAGAGAAATTAAAAATAAAATTGAAACCATGGACCATAATGCTAAAAAAAAAAAAAGATTCCTCTCATCCATACAATTTTTAAATCCAAATCTTTTTAAACAACTTAGGGCTTTTGTATGAGAATTTGATATCCAAAATTAACGAAAACCCTTTATCAAATGCACCATTGATTTGTCTTTGATATATGAAGTTTTTGAAATAAACTTCTAAAAACAAATACTACTACTAAATATTTGCATATATACATTTTGCAAGTGTTGATGACCTAAAAGACTTAACAATTATCACACAATTTTAAAGAGTGAAAAATCTACTTCTAGCAGTATTATCCATCTATCACTTTTTCTTAGTTGCTTCGTTTTCTTTCTTTCTTTACTGCTTTATTATTTACCTTTGGAAAGTGTTCAGAATAGGGTTAATTATTAAAGCTCCCCCTAAGGTTTAATCAGCTTTGCACTTTACCCCTTAACGTTATTTTTTTTCTCACATTACCCTTTAAACTGTTAGTCAACTTTAACATTGCATAACATAAATATCAAATAAACATTGATACACCTAAGGGTTAATTATAGTAAATCCCATTAAGGTATAACCATTTTGCATTTTACCCTCTAATATCATTTTTCTTTTAATTTGTTTATTTGTCCCAAAAACCATTAGTAACAAACAAATAAATTGATAAAAAAAGATATTAGGGGA